TAATAGCATGGACAGCTGTGTCCAGAGTATATGACACTGGTCATGTAAAGGGACGACTGCGTCCGTCGGAGAAGATTTCTGTCGTTTTGGATTTCTGTTAGTAGAACGAGTTTTCGAGTTCTCTCGACAATGAGAGACCTGTTCACGTATGGAAAATTGTGTCGCTTTTTTTTTTACACTGGTTTGCGAATCGTAACTCAACCTGCTATTCTGGCCAAGGTTTTTTCACAAGGTTGAGCTGCGTTATTCTTGTTGGTTTAGGTTACTTACCTTTCTTATCAAGGCTGTAACTTTTTGTTTTTTCCGATTGTTAGGTTATTTAAGTGTTCGAGGTGACTGTGTCCCAGATAGGGTGTTGCCTATTATATATTCGTTTGCCTGTCGTTTATGGGGCCTTTTTGGGGGATTTAAATGATCTGCTAGAGCAAGTCGCGTTTAGGATATATATGCAGTTTTTACGCGTTTGTTATTAGTTTTCTTTGTAGGTTTTTCGCTATGGCTTTGTTTAGGAGCTACTTTGGATGCCTATTTTGCCCCAGGGAGGTCGCTGTGGTTTCTTTCTATTATGCTGCCTACGGACATTGCGTCATAGGCATGGGGCCTTTTATTAGAATCGCTATCATCGCTTGTATTGCATTTCCTAAAGCCACTATCCTGTTGTTGCAAAATTTTGGTGATATAATTTTTTCTTGCAGGTCGTAGTTGCAAGTAAGGCATGGATGGTGCTCCCTCCTGCTATTAGGCCGGATTTTCATTCTTTATTTAGTAGTTTACTTTGTTCTAGGGCGGACTCTACTGCGAAGAAGTATCTTAAGGAAATAAACAAGTTTTTACTGTGGTGTAGGACTCGGAAAATTGCGCTACAAATGCCATTTTCTTCTTCTGTTGTCGCCCTTTATCTATTTGGATTAGATCAACAGCTTAGGTCCCCGGCCGCAATGGTTTTGGTCCATGCTGCGCTGAAATGGTTCCATTCCTTTGTTCCTGATGATGGTCCCAATCCTTTGGATAACGCTTGTTGCAAGAACTTGATTGAGTGCGCCAAGAGGACAAGGAGCAATCCAGTTCACAAGAAAAAACCCGTGGACCCTGCTATCATTAGAAGCATTATTGACAGACATGGCGCTGAGGAAGCATCTTTAACCCTATTCAGACTGCTTTTCGAACCCCCCCTCCGGCAAAATCGTGATAACTCCTACACCGAAAGAGCTATGACGTTCAAATTTTCTGACTTTTCCTAAAATTTATCTAGGAACATTTTGGTATAATTACCATGTCCATGTGATTAATCATGTTGCCATGGCAACCAGTTTCTGACACATAGGTTTTGGAAAATTTAAAAAATGGTGATTTTTTTGTTTTAAGATCGCGTTTTTACACTTATAGTGCTTTTTGTTATTAAAATGGTCTTTGCTTGGGACTAGTTTTTGAATTACATCAAAACGTTTCAACACCGAATATTTGGGGGGGAGGGGTGGGGTAAAATTTGTCACTTTTTTGCTTTGACAAATATGCTGCTCTATTTTCCAAATAACACTTCCAAAGTCATTTGTTTGGGTAATAAACATTAGTTTGATACTTCTTTTATACATTCTGAGCTTTTTCCCTTTTGAAAGTTGCTTTAAATTATAATTTTAACAAAAAAACGGAAATCCAAGATGGCGGATCAAAGATGGCGGACAACCATTACAAATTTTAAATTTTATTGCTTCCTATTGCTTTTTCTCACTGTACAAGTGTTTCCTTGTTACTAGTTCATAAGAAAGGATTACAAAGAGATGACTTTACCAATATTATTGATATTTTACGTATCTAAGTGGAAAAATAATAAGAAACATTGAAAAATCGGAATATGACGTCACCGTGACGTCATCATTGGGCGTGGCAAGTTAAAACTGGGTGTGGGGCTTCTTTGTACGGAGATGATCATTGTGTGTAAATTTCATGACCCTAGCATTATTGGTTCCAGAGATACAGAGGGGGGGTCCGAGGAGCCCCCCCCAGCCACAGATTGACCAAAAAAGCCCAGTCTGAATAGGGTTAAAGGACTTACGTATTGCCGCAATAAGTTCTTTAGGTTTTGCAGGATTTTTTCGTTTTAACGAGTAGGCTAATATTCAGCCAAAACACCTCACGTTTTGCGATGGTTTTGTTAAAATTTTTGTGCCAAGGAGTAAAACGGATGTATATAGAGAGGGCAATTATGTTTATATTGCTAAGTTAGAGAACAAATACTGCCCAGTAGCTATCTTACGTAGGTATATTGAAGCAGCCAATTTGGATCTGTCTAGTCACTTGCCTTTATTCAGACCATTAACGAAGAACAAGTCGGGATATACCCTTAGGAATGGCAAGTTATCCTATACTCGCTGCAGGGAAATATTTAAGACTACTTTGAAAGATTTGGGCTATGACCCCAAGGAATATGGCCTACATAGTCTGCGTTCAGGGGGTGCTACAGCAGTTATCAGTAATAACGCTTGTGTACAAGGCGAAGGGTATGGGCCCGAGTACGGAGCCTTGTGGTATACCGTGTGCAACTTTGGTATTCTCAGAGGGTAAGCCATTAATTACAGTATACTGTTCCCGTTCAGATAGATAACCTCTTTGCCATGCCAGTAAGTTTCCCGCCAGTTGTGCTCTAGCTGGTGAAGAAGAATTGAGTGTGAAACGCAATCGAACGCCTTCTGGAAGTCTATGAATACGGCGCCCACAACTAATTTGTTATCGATTGCTCGTCGCCAAGTTTCAGTCAGGTGGATGCATGAGTAATAGCTCTGTCGATGTTCCTTTTCGGTCGGCCCATTGGTTGTCAGTGACGAGCGCTTCGTTTTCCGAGAATTTTTTTGTTTGCCGGCTCTAATCTAAGTAATGATATCAGAATTTCTGCCGAAAGGCCGGGTCTGAACAGTAACGGGTATGGATTTTATAGGTCTGGTCTAAAAGCAGGCGTGGAAAATTACACTTTTTGGTCTGAAAAAGGGTCAGGATATGGAGAACCGAGCGGCACACACCCCCTCCAAGAATTCCCAGGAGTACCTCCACTCTCCACTCCCCCCCGGGGCATAAACAGACAGATCTTCAATTAGAAGGTGATAAACACTTGCTGGATGTTCAATGATTTAACACTTAAACTTATTTACTTGGTTTGTTCTTGCTTGTTGTGTGGTTATTGAGCAATTTCCTTGTGAAAACCTGGGGGTGTATAGACTGCAAAACAGTCGTTTTTTTTCTCAAAATTGCCGTTTAGCGTGGCTTAAGAGTCTCAACCACAAACACAAGAACGTAGGATCTATAAAGACCTGATCAGCAAACATAAGAAGTAGACAAATTAAATTCTGCGAACAGAATACTGCAGAAAATTCACACGTGTATCCTAGAGTGCAAGAGTACAATGGTCCAAGTGTCAATTGGTGGGATGATGGCGTGATTCTGTGGGTGTCGCGAAAATTAGTAAGAGTAAGGTACCTACTATGCGAGCGCTTAAATCAGAGGGTGCTGCTGCAGGTAATTTTCCAACAGCGCTTCTCTCTCTGTCTGTAACGCCGTATTGATGAGCTACGTACAATAAAAGCGAAACAGCTGTCTATGCCTACAATCCCGCGCTGTTTTTCATGAGTTCTTTCGGTGTCGTGTTGATGTAGTGCAAAGTTAATTTTCACGTAGTATGATCAGCAGTGCAGTATTCTGTTTTAAGAGTCTCACACGATAAAACATGTGTCGTGACTTAATAATAATAAGTCTGCGCTTCGCAGGCTAGCGTTATGCGGACGACCCGGATAATACGGACCCTATAGCATGTCCCCTTGGTGTCCGTATTTACCGGTTTCCACGTGCACTGTACCATGTTCTGGACCTGTAAACCATATTCTCTAAAATTGATAATCCCTAGGATCCCCCGGAGGAGTACTGCCATATATGTCCGATATCAGTATGTGCCGCTGCGAAGGGTATAGTCTCCCAGGCAGACGTTCTTAGGGGTTCGTCACGCGTTCCTGCCTCACGAACGTTCGTTCAAATTGGTTTTGTTTTGGCTGGACTGTGCTAGTGACCTAAAAAGTTTCTGGAAAACAGCAACTCTAGGATAGGGGGGATTTGGGGCGCTTAGTCTAGTAAAGGGTAGCAAAATTCACTTGAACTAGCTGTGGTATAGGCTAAGGGTTTCAGGGTCCCAGCGGCACAGTACATTCCCACCCAAAATTTCCTAAAGTACGGTACTTCCCCTCGGGCTAAGATCATTTCTTCTTCTTGTTACTATAATCGATTGTTATCGAGTTTTACCGAGTATTTTTTCCGATGTCAATGGATAACGATCGGTGGCAGTAGCGGGGCTCCTGTCGGTGGATGATATCCAGGGGCGGATCCAGGATTTTTTTTAGGAGGGGGTGCACTCATCTCTTGCTCTACTTCAACACTAATAAACCACATAGTTTTTTTTTTGCAGAATACCAGTTGTATTAGAAAACTGCAGGTCATCTCAGGAGGGGTGGGGGTGCGCAACCTCTGCACCCTCCCCCTAGATCCGCCCCTGATATCGATTATATATCGATTGATTTCCGTATCGATTTCCATCGATTGACTACACCTGGATACAATGTAAATCGAAGTGAGCACATTCAGCAATTATTTTATATCCTCTTTTAAGGGGGGGCCGTAGCACGGGGAGGGGCCGGGGGAGCCCGTGCTCCTCAAGTTTTTTGCCCCCAAAAGTCAAAACATGCACGCATAAGAGTTGAAAATAAAAATTCATCTCCCAGACCATTGAATCAATGATGTCTCTGCAGCTAGGTGAAACACTTCCTGGTTTTAAGATACAGAGACCAGTTCAATGGGTTCTCCGGACTCAAAACCCTCTGCTTTTTAAATAATTAAAAAAACCCTTCGGTTGTTAAATACAATCAGGTACCTTGTGCCCCCTAGTTTCTAAAGGCTTGCTACGTCCCCGAAAGGTAAGGCTTGGGCCGTACGTAGGCACACAACCAAGCAGTGTCCTACTATACTGTGTACGCTGTACTGTGTTTTAATTGTATGTTCGACACCAAAGATTGTGTCTTTTACTAATACACTACTTGCACATCTCCCATAATGCACCTTATTTGTCCCCCAAGATTTTGCATAAGTAAGCATTGTTTTCAATTTCTCTTGGGAAGGCTGTATACCCAGGAGAAATGAAAAAGAAAGGTTATGCCAAATTTGGGCGGGGGGGGGTGGCAAATAAGGTGCCTTATGGGAGATGTGCAAGTGGCATATTGCTGGCGAGCCTTATGCGAGCCAGCACACTACTCTCTACAATAGCGGAGTAAGGGAGGAAAGGGAAAAGGGAGGGGAATTGGGGAGAGAGGGTTTTCTCCATCTCCCCGTCTCCGTCTCCGTACCCCTCTCTTCTTTGCGCCTGTCACGCAGGCTAACCCCTGGCTAACCATTCAACTGTGAAATCTACATAATCGGTTGACTGTCGCGTTCGGCAAGCGCCTGCTACAGTCGGGTCTAATTTTTTAAAAACCTTTATAAAGTCAAAACAAAACTGCTGAAACACACGAGCACCACATTAAACCTGTTAATTTCCATGTGCCACATCTTAGCTCCTTCATTCGCGAATCCGCAACCATTGTTTGCATAGTAGAACATCCAAACACACAAAATATCTTGCCATCCTCGGGTTCATCACTTCACCGTTCATTACCTCGATGAAATTATCTTCATAGACAAATAAGGAAAACTAGAAAATATAAACAAGCAATTACTTTGAAAAAACTCACTAGGACTCGTTTATCATCTGCTTGCACCCTAGAATTACTCGAAGGGCTTTCCACTTTTATACATCACAAATACACGGAAATAACGTAGTTTTCTTTTAACAAGGCTTACCCACCCTTATTCCCAGGGGTCATTTTGATTTTCTTCACTTTATCTATTTTCAAACTGTATTCTCCGTATTTTCTTCCAGCTCTGCCGCCTGCGCTTACTTTCAATGCAAATTGAAATTCCTGATTTTTTTAATGTATGCGTTTTTAGCCCTTTCAATTTACACCGTATCTGGGTACTGTTGTGATCTCAAATGGGGTACGGTTTGATCTGGGGTTGGGTATGGACTTGGGGAGTTATGATGTTAAAGTCCCTCTAAAATCTAGTGTTTACAGCCGGATATCGAACACCTGGAAGCCAGTTGGAAAAGTGTATCATAGTTTCCCTAGCCCCTGTACGGCGTTTTCCCACGCCATTCACTTCGTCGCTCCGACCACGTGACCCAAATCGCATTGGACGCGCGGAGTTATGAGGCCTACGGACTACACAATATCATAGTGTGCATGTTGCAACGGTCAGGTCTGAAATAGGGTAGGGTGACTCGCATATTTTGGTCTGCAGTCACGTGACCTGCTTGATGCAAAATTTATGGGATACACCTCAAACAGCCTGGACACCAGAAAAGCAAATTGTATGCGAAAATTAGCCAGAAAGCCGATTTGGCGGTGATTGATACAAAGGACTAAGATTTTACGTGTCTTGGAATGTCTTCAAAATCGATCAAGCGACTTTTTCCATTGAAAAATGAAGCTTTCCCTTAAAAATTGACACACCCATTAATTGTTTTACACTCTTTCAATCTCTGGACTTTTAGGATTGCATCCCATAATTTGGCATGAGACAGGTCACGTGACCCCAAGATGCAAAGCATGCCGCACACCCCTACCTCTTCCCAAATTTGGACATGTTATATTTTATTTGACTTCTTAATGTGGGAAATCGCGAAAAATTAATGTGATCAGTTTATTATAATTTATTTCTTGGGAGTTCTACGTCCAGCTTAAAGAAATTGGGCAAGGTAGGCAAAATGTTGAAGGAACTTCACTTCATTTAATTGGTCATAAATAAATTATATATTTTTCTTTGCTTCTGATCTGAAAAATTTTTCATTTTCCGAATTTTCGTCTTTACTATTCACACCGAGGCGATTTTCTGGTACATTTTGCGGCAATCTTCCAGGTTTTCTCGATTTCTTAGCAGCAGTTGTCTATCTGCTGGAAGGTTGGTAAATTTCTCGAAAAGTTGCGTCGAATCTGAGGGAGCAGGCTTGTAGTAGTGTAGAACATCATGACGGACATTCTGAAATAGACAAAAGACAAAAATAAACAATTAGAAAGAACAAAATATGTGATGATGTGAAATTTTACACGCCGGTCGGCGAGCTATGCTCAGCTATTCGCCATTTGCACACCTCCCATAATACACCTTGTTTGCCACCCTACCGCCCCCCCCAAAAAAGCATTGTCTTCAATTTCTCATGGGATGACTGTAATACCTAGGAGAAATTAATATCTTGATATCGTTCGTTAAAGCGAACATGAACATATTTTGCCAGTCCGTTGGCCCTCTGTTATATCGTGGTTCCATTGTAGCTGACTTTCGACTTTTGAATGATTATAAAATTGTCCGTTGGCTGTTGAGTGATACAAGAAAACACCAATGCAAGCTGGGAGCCGAGTTTACAAACTATAAAAAATGTTACCCACCTCATTTTGCACAGCGAGAACTTGCTTCAACAGGGTTATCTTCTGTTTAAGCCCACGATCATCCTAGAAAAAACAAACAAGTGAAACCAGTCAAATAGAAACCGCACTCACTGTTCCACGCAACTCGCAAAGCAATTTACCCGCGTGGTTAAAACCTGCAGTGTTAACAATAGTGGTTTGACTTCGGCGCGCCGACCTCGTTCCCAGTGTTCTCCCTCGCTCCGGGCACGATTAGGAGCGAACCCTGGGAACGAGGTTGCCGGCGCAGAACTACGGTCCTCAGACTCTTGGTTGTTCATGGTGGTTTCGCCAACGAAAGCTCAAAATTGATACTGTGAGAGCAAGTTCTGGGCTTGCGGGGCAGGTTGCAAAAGAGAAAAGGAGCCAACTCCCCCACCCCCCAACTCTCTAGCACCAGAGGCATGAGCTTGCTCGCGCTGACAGTCTTATTTCAAAGCCAAGCGTAAAGAGGGTTTCTAATCTGTCTTGAGAGCTTCCTTGATCTATTTTACTTATGTCTCTCACAGACTCTTTAAAGTTAAAATATTTCCCGGAAGTTACAACGTAACTCCGTTAAACTGCTATGGTAAGTACGGGATTGGATAAACCATCTCAATATTAACGTAGCCTGCGTATCAGGCTAGTTTTAATCAAAGCGCGCGAGGGGATCACGTGAAGACAAGAGGAGGCCTCCTTTTCTTTCTCCACTCATGCGTGTGCGATTGTCCTCGAAATTTCACCCTTCGCCCCAACAAAACCGGCGCCTGCTTTGTAGGCTACCTATCATGAAGGTTGAATCATCTGAAATTTAAAATTTTATCGCGACCATACAACACAAGTCATTCGATCGCTGTTGTTAAAAAAAGGCATCCAATGGCAGGGATATTGGTAGGCCAGACTAACCTCAGGATTGACTCGTTGAAAAATAAAGGCATTTACGTGGTGAACAGCAACAAGATAAAACAGCGGAGACCACTGAGCCCTGAAACACATCAAACAGGTTTTAAAAGTCGTAAGTCGGGTTTAAGCCCTTTATGTGGGCTCAAAACTTGCATTTTTTCCGAGAGTGGCATGATAATTGTATATGACAGCATTGTAACTAAGACACGCTGTGTACTTTAGGTTTGTTTCTATTGGCAGGTGTTAGGTAGTGCGCGGCCTTCAATGCGCGACGTCCCGAGTTCGATCAGTCCCGGTGACATCACATCCTTGTTTCGACTTCTTTTCTTTCTGTGTAGCTTTAACTACAGTCGACTCCCGATAATTCGAACCTTCTAGGGAAATAGAAAAAAGTTCGAGTTATCGAGGGTAAAATTATATGGAAAATGATCTGAAGGGAAATGAAAATTGCTTCGAGTTAGCGGGAGGTCCGAGTCACAGAGGGTTGGAGTTACCGGGAGTCGACTGTAGCTTTAAATATCCTTAAAAACAGAACATTGATTGGGGGGGGATGGGGTAAAATGAGTGCAACGTCGACCTCAAGTTTATCAGTTGAATAACTGTCACGAGTTACCGACGTGAAATACGGTTTTTTAACCCTTTACCTTTACAGGTATTACATTGGTGTAAGCCTCATTGCAGATACACCGTAGGGTAAGGACACGACTCACCTCACTGCCTGGGTGGCTAAAGCTCGAAGATAAAGCGTGAGTAAGGGCTGGTTCTGTTCTATTGGGTACAAAAATTCCTCCAGGGGAACAGGCAGCTGAAATTAAAAGTCGACATGAAATTGTTATGTCATTTTAGAGACAACTAAACTTGTTAAATTTTCAAAGCACACAGGCAAATTCTAGTCCAGGCAAGACTGGTCTTTAAACCGACATTAGGGACCTTAAGCAAGGACGACGACGACGGCAGTGAAAACGTCGGTAAAAAAATGAATTTGCGTTCTTTCAAACTTAATCGCGTCTTTGGACCCGCTCAATACGTCAAAATGCATTTCCTGGAGTTGAATTCTTAAGGATTTTGTTCAGGTTCAAAAAGAGGAAGGAAAATTCGTCGTCGTATGTCCATGTCCTCCATAACACGGCAAATTAGGAGGTTTCACGTCGTAGTCGTGCAGTGGACGTCAAAGAAATGTACTAAAAAGCGTGATGCACGTTCAGAGCTGTTATTCTGATCGTTAAAGCTATTGTTTTTTGAAGTCGTCGTTGTGGTCGTCGTCGTAGTTGCTTAAGCTCCCTATTACCGACCAATCTTTATAAAACATGCTGTAAGAGTGTTTAGGCACCAATTCATTATTGTTCAGACATTGGACGGCGCTATATCCCGGATAGATACTACGAAAACAATTAAGGGGAAACAATTACGTCATCCGCTGGACAGAAATCTACCCATAGCGTCATCCACCCTTTGAAAAACTGCCACCAAAATTATAACAACCGAGGTTCACAAGTGTCTTCACAACACACAAAGCCGTTGCATTTTGGGGGAAGGCTACTTCGCTTGGAACGCATGTGGGAGTATTGAAGAACTGAAGGCACTGCTTTGTTTTTCTCTACAGGTTCGCTCTTTTTCCTAACTATCGGCCCCACCAAAATGCAGATTCGCGCGTTGGGTGTAATTACGAAACTCACAACAGCTGACGGTATGAACCCCTTCAATAAAACTACCGAAAAGCGTTACGTGACAAATCAAATGGTCGCGTAAGAGTACTGGACGCCAGTAATACGCTACCTGATCTAAGGGAATGGCTAAGGCCCTTAAGACACCTATGTGCTCATCCCACACAGCTCTACGAAACTTAATGTCGTGTCTTTGTGTTAACGGTAGGATAACAAAGCAGCCAAATAAAGGGTCGCCAAAGGATACCGCGGAATACTGTGAAAGTAATGAGGCGTACCTAAAAAATACAAAATTATCTCGTCAGATAAATGAAGAATACCAAACTTAACAAAATGATAGCGTTTTACATAGTATTAAACCATATCACTTAAGAATTTCCTTCACAACATGAAAACCATGCACAACAAAACGAAAAGCATCAATTTAATCCAAAGATACCCTGAAACGGTACACAGGAAAGTAGTTTTCTTCTATAGTGAGATTTGAGCATTCCATTCAGTACTTTAGAACTCAAGAACTTGCGCAACAGAAAATCAAAGTAATGCTGAATGATAGCCAGCTGAACACCACCGGCGTAAGGCTAATACTCCATTTAGAAACTCGAATTAAGTGCCAGATTTATCAATAAAAATATATGATGTGGAGCGAAATCTAAGAGTGTTACTTACAGATCATAGAACGACGTGAGTCCAGGGATTGGGGAATTGAAATCGAGCTTCGCTAGTTTTGTAGAGTTTGTGTAAATCCGCAAAAGGACTGACAAATAGTCATGGACTTTGCTGTTCAGAAACAAATCACTCCCTGAAAGTTGACAAACAGAGAATTCCACGGTTAATTTATAAAGAAAGCACTTTCAAACCTTTTATCATTTGACCGTTGTATTGCTTTTACTTTCTTTTTTTCGAGACTTAAAACATTCTGGATTGAAACGAAACGAGATGAAACTTTTATCGCATAGGTAGCAGGGCAAAATGGCCTTTGCTTGAGATGAAATAACGAGTAAACTGGTTTCTATAAACGAGCTCTTAAAAGGTCCATATTGTGCAGCACACGAGAACGCGAAAAAAAAAAACACGACCGGAAATACGTCTGCGTTCTCATGCTACCATTAGCTTTTCTTCTTACCTGTTAAGAAGACACACATAATTCTGGCAATTCGCGATGTCATGGAAACGTGACGTAAGCATGAAGGCCGCCAATCCTCCAGCAGAAGGACCAACCGAAGGGTTGCTGTTACTATAGAAACGGCTTGACTAGCGACAGTATCAATTTCCTTGCCTTTCATCTCACTTACCACAGAAACACAACAAAAAGATATATTGATTAATGATAAGTAAGAATGCTTTTAAAGTCAGAAATTGAGAAACAAATTTGAAGTTTCCAATGTATTTGGCTGCCTAATTTAACTTCAAACCACACGCATACAGAATCAGTGCTACAAATAACTTTTCTTTTTCGAAAAGGACATTTGTCGGTCCACCATTTTATTCGCACAAATCACAGGGTGGTTGGCCATACCTTACCTGATGATCTTTAAGTGCACGTACTGCGCAGATCTTCAGATGTAAATAATATTTGATTTGCCCGGTTATCGATGTCGGATAAGAGAGACTGCTGGCAGTCTACCCCTAAGCTAACATTTACACTTACTTCTCACTTAGGGCAAAATGATGGCTTAGGGGAGGGGTAGGTGGGCAGTTTCCCAGAAATCTAAATGTCCGGTACCAGTCGGGATTCTCTCAGACACACGGCATATTTTAGACGAACATAAGGGCCATTTATACGGGGAAAAATAAGAAGCGTCTTTACTAAGTCGCGACTTATTTCAGACGAAATGTGCCGTTTATACGGGACAGTTTTGCGTCTTATTTTTCCTCGTATAAATGGCCGCATTCTCATTTTGAACACAGAGGCCTTTTGTGGAGGTCTTACTCATCGGTAAAGAATTTCTTCTTTAATTCAAACCTACTGCGTTTGGTTAGTCGTACTACGATTCCATGGAACCAACGAAATGGTGCACCTAAAAAATTGCACCCGAGCCAGAACTTTAGACATTACAGCGAAACCTAGAGAGATTCACGATTCTTGAAGTAATTTCTTCATGACCCTATTCCTATATACAACCAATGGGGCTAAGAACACACGAGAAAAGACCACTTTTTCTGTTGCAAGACCTTGAAAAGCCTGTGAATGCAGCCGCGTCTTACTACGAAATGTCCCTCGCGGTGAAGCCAGACCTTAGCCTGCGAGCAACCTTTCCATTTCGAGTGGCGCGGACGAAGCAGACCGCGTAGCCCGAGTATCAGGCCTTCCTAAGGGGCTAGGGGAGAGGAAATTTTAGATGGGGTAGGGAAGAGGGGCAGAAGAGCTCAGCTCTCTCCCTTTTTTGCTTCCATCTTTCCCCTTTTCCCCAGAAACGCCTGATACTCAGGCTACAGACCGCGCAAAAAGGCGCGAGCGACGTGCCGTTCGTGCGTGACTTCCAACGTTATACCCCAAATGGGAAGGTTTCTCGCAGGCTAACCAGACCTTACCAGTCAAATCTGGTTCATTGAACGAAGGGATTTTACTTACACACTTATCGCCTGGTTGTGTAATTTCACAATTGGGAGAAACATCCAGTCAGCCGGTTGTATGGGGCCTCTGCAGGGAGACACGAGAAACGACTGTGTTTTGCGCACCTGGTGAAGGGACAGCGACCTGAAAAATGTTCAAATATTACTGCAGGAAAGTTCTTACAGAACAGGTTTCGCCAATTCGCCATTTAAAAAACGAGAAGGAAACTGTAATGATGCTAGCTACAGCCAGTCACTTCCGGTGTTTATGTTTCCGGTGCTATTGTTACCATGATGATGATTTGCGAGTACATGTTTTTCTTTCATTGGGCCATATTGTAGCTCACAATAAAGTAGTGTTAAACTCAACCTCTCAAGCTTGTTTAATACAACACAGAAGTAACTTTCCCGAAGTTTTCGGCGATTGTAAGTAGGAAGAGGGAAACAAATAGGCCAATAACTGACCGGCGCATCCCCGGTAGAAACGGTCCAAGAAACGATTGTTCGACGCATTTCGGCTCCATCCAGTTCTCTTGTCGCTTCTTAAGTGGCGAATTAGAATCTCAGATGTGTTATCGTGTCCCCGTAGTTGCTTCCCCCACCGAGAGGACTTCTTGCCACTTTAATAGAGTGGAGGACATAAAATTTCTATTCAGTGGATAACGCAATTGGTCTCCCTATCACTTATAATCTGTATAGTAGCCTGTAAGCAAGCTCTCTGGGGCGCTCTGGCGGCGGCGCTGGAGAAGCGCCCCGGAGAGCTTGCTGGCGCCATCCAACGTTCGAACAACCGGGACCAAACCCGGACCAAGACGTTTGTCTCTCTTCTGGACGTCAAATGAACCCTTACATGGTATGTAAACACTTTGATAGTAACTGCAAACTTCAAAAACCACTTTACGAGTCGTGAATGACACTGGATTGAACACAAAAAGACATCGAACCGAAGTCGCAAAAAAAAGAAAAAATCAAATCTGCCGAATAACCATATCAAACCAGGCGGATAACATTCGCCGAAGCTCAAGCACACGAAGTTGGTATCAAGTGGAGGGTACATTAATCAGACATTCGCAAAAACTTTTCTCTATAAAAGATTTCCGGTTCTTCATATTTCTAGGAACAGAGCGAAAGCAGAGCTGATAGCCTGATGTTCACAAACTCGTTCCCAGGGTTCTTTCCTGCTCCACCCTGCGCAGTAGGAGAAAAACCAGGGAACGAGGTTGTAGTGTTCACTGCGACTAAGGTCAACTTAACCCAGTTTTACCTGGAAAAATCCAACGCGCGCTTCTTGCCTTGACAGGAATCCACAAAAACAGACCGAATGTAGGGCAAGTTATTATGAGCCTCCGCAACAAGCTCCCCTCGGCTAGCAGTGGAAGCGTCGTATGTAGTTGACTGGGGAGGACTGGCCAGAGACATCTCCGATAAGTCTCTGATAACGTGTAACGATGACGGTTCATTTGTTGGAACACTAGAAACAACAATAAGTACAAAGACAACTGAATAGAGTAGTTTTCCACAAAGTATAACAGCAAATTGTGACTGAGTTGACTCTGCTTTTCAACTTGATTAAAAAAACGTGTTTTCTCGGCCAATAAGGAGTGAATACGATCGCACTTGTTTTGCGAGTTAACGCTGTGATCACGTTAAGGTTGACAATTTTTGAAATTAAGAAATGAGCCGATAAAAAAGTGCAAAATTATTCTTACGAAGAAGCCCACTAAAAAGGCAACTTTTTTGTAGCAAGGAAAGGTAAACGGCAAGTGAACGAAAATTTGGTTACGTGATACTAAGTTTCTGTTTGACCTACATCTTCACGGCCGCACATAGCCAAATCCCCTTTTCACAAGGCAAATGTTCTTCTTGTACTCATCCCAATGGTCAACGGTCAAGGAGACACTCGCGTTGAAAAAACCTTGTTTCTGTAAAGTAAACGTTTACACTGAATCTCACGATTCCCCATGCGATTCGCATGCTCATTCCCAAGCCCTTTAGCCTGTCCCAGGCGTTCAGATAGCGGGAACCGCGCAACACCTTTTCCGGTTTCTAGCTAATTCTCGCTTCTGGCCAAAGATCCTTAGCCTAGTTATTAGATACAAAACAGCATAGAAACTCACCAAAAAGTCGTCCAGTTCTGACAGTTTAACGACTTTAAGTTCTCTTCACTTACCGAAAAAATTTCGAATTGAATAAAACAGTGGAGAGGAGGTCGAAAGCATAAAATTCATCTCCAGGGAGGAGCTTGGCAATCAACAGGAGCCCAACTTCATGCCACAATGGTACCGTGTTAATCAAGTCTTGTGATTCTGTCGCTTCAAACTGAAAAAGAAAGCGCAAACAGTTAACTTGGCGCTGAAATTTCTGTGCAGTTAGAAAAATCCACCTACAAAATTAGCTGGTACGTACGCCACTTATAAGTTACGCGGGAGTTCGTATTGTCTCGAATTACACCATGGAACATCTATGGACCTGTTTTGGGGGAGAAATTTTGACTCAGTTTCCTGCGCGACTTCGTATCGGCCTCATTAAAGGGTTAGCATTAGATAACATCGGGTGAAGCCGGATTGGACACCTTATGAGGTTTACACAACGCATCAATGTGTTAACGTAACGAGACTGGAACAAAACCCCACTAACCTTGTAGAATTGCTGAAAAAAAAAACAACAACAACAACAACAAAACTGCAGAGCGCCAGTTATGGAGAGAACATACTAAAGAGTTAAACACTAATGTGCAGTGATTAGGGTTAAGCACTGAACTGAAAACGACTAGCTTTCAAATATTATAATGGGAAACAGCATAAAAATTACTGGATTTGGCAGCTAGTACTCGATGGTTTAGTGGATATGAACGTAGGTTATGAAGTAAATGTCTCGGACTCAAAGCAATTTTTCAGTTCTGTTTAACTATCTTATTTTATATTACACAGTAAAGTTGGACTTAAGTTGTTCTTTATGTAATTTTACTGAAAAAAAAATCTGGCTTCAATCAGCCGATGTATGCTACCTTATGCTAACCTCATTAAAGAAGGGATAGCGTTCCTAAAACATTCCCATAGTGCAATTCGATTTAACAGTGATCCAGTCTTACAGGAAAAATCAAGATGATCCATAGCTATAAGAATAATAATGTATTCGCAGTTCCGGCTTACAACATCCCATCTTATTCACAGACGCAAAAATATGAAACGCTTTCTATAGAATAATAAACAGTACCACAGGAAAGTGCTGTTCAGTAGCTTTCAACTGAATGGTCACTCTATAGGATTTCACGCACATACTTAAAAGTTACAACTACCTTGTAAAGTGTAATAAACAGTGGCTTTCATTTAAATGTTAATGCACCCCTTAACTCGTAAGATCCTAAACGGTGGATAATAGTTTTGGACAGCCTAGCAACCAACACCAGGAGAATTTTATGCTCAATAGGGACAAGTTATTTTGAAAGATGACTAAAACACTGTGAAATATGATTTCTTACCACATTATTGGCTAGTTTAAGCAAGAAATAGTGCAAATGATGCTCTTGGCGAGAAAGGAAACATAAAGCTTCATCCTGAAATTAAAGAACATAAGGGTGAGTAAAGAGGAAAAAGAAAACGAAAACAAAGACATCTCAGAAAGTAAGAAAAAAAAAAGGCTTCCTTCATACTTGATGTACAAACCTTTGAGTCTACAACAAGCATTAAATACTTGAGGATGGCTTCCTTGTGCAAAACAGCAACAAACTAAAAGTAACAATAAAAACAAAAAGATAAGAATATTTCGCATTCAAAAGCAAAGCACAAGGTTTTTTTTTACGAATAAATGAATGAATTTTGTTTTAGTGTTGGAGTATTTACCTTGCTGGCTTATTGTGTACACTAAAAGAACATTCACTGCTTTCCATACATACATGTACAACAGCCACAACAACAACAAAGCAGAAAGCAGAAGCATAGCAGATACAAAATAAACCAAGAGAGTGCAGTACGGTACAGTACAAAACAGCACCTTTTCAGCCAATCCTTTATGTAGCTTAGTGACTTGGTACATCAGTTGTAGCAAACATGAAATAAAGCCAATGAGTTCATGAATGTGTACCTCCACGAATGGCTTTCCAACCTTACAACTCACTTCCAACGAGCCATACCCAGGAAGGCTCATAATGGCCTTTTCCGATGGCTTTGAGCTTCTAATATCATGAGATAGGCTGTAGAAGGAAAAGTAATAATTATCGAAAGAAAATTTGTTGGTTAACTTGAGGTCCTTAAAAGATGTCCCTTTATGAGCTTAAATGTCTTGCCAAGCCTAAGAGCAGCTACTGAATCATCTATCAATCTATATCAAGTCGGCGTGCAAACGTCTCCTCTCGTACTTCCTTTGCTGCCACAGAAATATATCCGCGGAGGTCACACCCTTTACCCTTTTCTATACCCCTGTTGCATACCTTCAGTTGACAAATGGTACCCCTTTCACACACTAGTTTCTTCAATTGACAAATGGTACCCCTTTCACACACTAGTTTCTTCAATTGACAAATGGAACCCCTTTCACAAACTAGTTTAGACAAAATGCAGTGTTTTAAAATATGAATGAATCACCAAAGCAGAACGTTTTCACGACTTTCTCACAGCCATAAAATGCAGACGCGAATCCATAAATATTCATACTCGGCGACTGGAAATGAACCGTGAACAGGGCTACAACCTTCCCCCAATTTATGAAACAATTTTGTAGCCACATCAAAACAAGGCTGCGAAAAACAACAAAAGTCATTACTGATGAAGGTATCCGGATGGATCCTAAAAGCTCCGCCAAACTTTCAACAAATTGTTAGTGTTGAAGAATATTTTTTATAATATATTGTCCAACAGACGAATCTCCGTTCTGTTATCTGTTAGCCATTTTAGAACTCTTTACAGACCAACGTGTTATATTTCCCTCCCCTTTAATACACTGCAACTAGTGAAATCCCCACCATTTCTGTATACCTGAAACCTGAAAAAGGTTCCCCTTTCGGGTGGAGCCCCTTCATACAGGCCATTGTAGGGAGTCCCGACTTCTCTGGGGGAGCACCTGCACCAATTTTACAGGTCTGTCCCTTTCCCGTCTGTTAACCAAGACAGATGGAAGTTCTTGTCTCGTAAGCCTTTAATCACTCTAAAGTATCTTCTGAATTGTCTATCCATCTATTTTAAGCTAGAGTGCAGACGTCTCCTCTTATATTTCCTTTGTTGCCACAGAAATATATCCGCGGAAGTCCAACCCCTTACCCTTTTTTATAACCCTTTCGCATACAGTGTACCTTTTATTGAAAAATGGTACCCCTTTCACACACTAGTTTATCACGCCGCATCACTGAATTTTGTTGCTCGGTACCCCCTTGAGCGTCCGCCATGTTTCGGGTCCCAAAGAAGTGTTGAGAAATAATCTCTGAATAATAAATCCGAATAACGATAATTTGAATTTTTTTTACCTGATTTGTGTGAAACAGCTATCCAGGAATTTTGAGCTGATTATGGGAAGGAGCACAGTACTGGTCAGTTGCTCTAGCCCATGGAGAGTTTCCACTGGTGAGTGGGTACCCTGTTAATGAATCAATCATGACAATAATCAAAATTAATTTTGCAACGTGTACGCATCTTATATTACAAGACTATGGTTGTTTACAGAAGTAGTCGATTCATGGTCTGGGTAAATGGTAAGCAAAATTCAGGACTGGTAAAGTTTGTCTCGGAATCACGTTTTCCATGGATAGGAATCAGACATTTAGCAAATAATAATGGCTGTGAAGGCCTGAAAACTGGTATCAAAGATGGCTCTGAATTGCTCTGAATTGCGATTTGGAATATCCCGTCCAGAAAAACAAGACTTCCTTTTCAGATAATTTTATTCCATTGCTGCAAGAAATTATCTGCTAAAACGACCCAAAAAGTTGTGCTCCATTACTTTCCAACCGGAAACTTTGTAAATAGTAAATGACCTATGTTACCTGACAGTTACAGCCTAAGGATCTATTTTTCTGTCTCTTGGTAAATAAAATTCAGGTGGGCAAAGTGACACAAAAAAAGATCCTAATTCTAGAGTCACCATGATGCACAGAAAAGGTATTCAGAGCACTGCTAAAATTGGGCCAGACATGAGGTGACAACCAGGTTCATAGAGCCACCTTATACAGCATAAAAAAAGCACTACAAGAAACTACTGCTCCATAGCTTTTATTTGAATGGCAAAACTTCAAAATTTTTACCTTAGACTCAAAAGTTAGAACTACCTTGTACACTATAGTGCATAACAAGCAGTAGCAAAGACGGTACTGATCGGTAGCTTTCATTTGAATAGTCACGCATACTTTAGGACTCAAAATTTACCTGTTTTCCAGTTTCCACTGCTTTCAAAACACAGCCAAACTGTTAGCAGAGTATTGGGGTGCCATGATATTGTTTTCAAAATCAAATAACCTAGCAGTATCCAATTACTTCAATAAACAGCAAAAACAGTATGGGTCTTCATAGTTCAGTTGGTAGAGCACCGCAGCGCTAATGCAGAGGCAATAGGTTCAAATCCCAATAAACACTACTTGTACTCCCCCCCCCCCAGTTTTTTTGGGTTAATGCACAATTGCTTAAATTGCTATTACACTGCTTTGATCATAAATTATTATCACTACATGTGGCTAAATGACAAACTGCCCTCTCTGAAATGCTATTTTTCGTGGGCCAAACGGCAAAGTCCGGGCTGTAAATGGAATTTGCAGCCCACAACATGATGATTTCATGTTGAGCAATAAATATGAAATAAATTAGTACGATTTGACCTGGTGTATTGATAATAATGATGATCACATGACTTTTGGAGGGCATATAGTTTATTTTTGTCCTTTGTAGTATCATCTGCACCCTCGCTCTGCTTGTGTGCAAATGATGCTACTCAGGCCACCAATAAACTATATGCCCTCCAAAAGTCATGTGATTGTCCTATTGTATCTTCATTTAAATGTCACTGTCTGTCCTATATGTCACATGTACCTGCTCAAGTGGCTTAGTATAGAAAGCAGTTAAAATAGCAAGAGATCCAGAAAGAAGACACAGGTTTTCAGGCTGGTAAAACAAAAAGACATAAAGCAAATATCAGTAATAATAGCACTAAGAACATAGTAATATGTGTACCCCCGTGAAGAACATTTCTCTTGAGTCCAAGCCAACTATGCAAATGACAAATTGTTACACAAATGACTCTGCACATGCTAAAAGCCATGCTAAAACGAAACCTCTGCTTGCTTGTCTAAGAAAGCAAGTGAGCAGAATTTGCTTTACAACCAAGAACTTTTTTTGCTTTGTGATCATTTCCTATAATTCTCCATGACCTTTATGTTTTACTATTTAATGTAATAATATAAGGTACTATATTAACCTGAAGAGTTGTTGTATCTGAATCCACAATCTCGTTAACCCACTTAGTCATACTTGCACCAATCAGAGGTAGGAATCCAGTCACATGACTCCAATTAAGAGCCAAAGGTGGCAGAGAATCTATCCCATGGTGCTCTTCAGTAGTTGATACGTTTCCCTGAGCCTCATGGTCAGCAGATGTGCTAGCAGCATAAATGGCAGCTTCTATGACACCAAATACAGCAGTGGCACAGGAAAGCTCTGCTTTTCCTTCAGGCATGGTTGCTAAAATTGACAGACTTTGAACTGATTGCAGATGTTCTATAAAAGCTGTGTACATTTCCCTAGAATAAAAAAAGGAAGCTAGTAACACCATCAAGGCTTCAAGAGTTCTTAAAATGCTGCCATTTCATTTGCTGGGGCAGTTGAGTAACTGAGGACTTCAAATTCATCAATCTCTACTACAGGGCTCCAAACATTGGCTGGTCGACAGACAATGCCCGGGCAAGAATGACCATTTGTTTTGTCCAGACAAACTTTCACTTTGCTGGTCTTTTTGTTGGGACAAGCTAAGAAGCCACCAAAAAAAATACAGGTCTCAAGACAAAAAGCATTTTCACTTTCGATTTTAGGTTTTTACTTGTGATGAATAAGTAGCTCAAGTTATTATTGTGTTATTTGTAACATTTTGACGGGTCAGAAGAGAGATGTGACCGAGCTAAAATTTCTTTGCCTAGTCCACAAGACTGGCAACAGTCTCAAATTTATTTCGAGTCCTGTACAGCCCTTTTCCATTATTTTCAAAACTGTCAGCAGTAACAAATTTACCAAACTTTGCTTTGTAATAATAAATTATTGTAGTATTAAGTTTCCTATTCTCCAAACATTCCAGTTCCACAGTGGTGGCTGCCAGGCCTCTTACCAAATTACCACTGAAAGGATGAACATGTATAAGGATTGATGGTGAGCAAGGTTGGTGCAGTCATAAGGGCATTTGCCTCCTACCAACGTTGCCCAGGTTCAAGTCCCAGTGTCGACACCATATGTGGGTGGAGTTTGTTGTTAGTTGTCTCCCTTGCTCTGACAGGTTTTTCTCTGGGTACCAACATTTCCAAATTCCAATTAGACCAGGAATTAGGTAGACAAAGAACCTCTTAGTGGATGTGCTACATCTAAATGTATATTTATTGTTATTTATTAACTTATTTATTAATGAACAATTACTGGTTTTGAAGATTACCTGATTGAGTCACAGCCTAAGCCATACAAAACACATACTCTCCATGTCTGCAGGCTTTCAATGTACAGTGAATATGCCTCCTGTAGTTCAACCTGCATGTTAGCAGGGGTTAGAGCTGTGTAGCGCATAAGTCGGTCAAGTAAATTGTACTTTGAGATCTGTCAATGAAAACATAAGATCAAGGGTTACATCACAAACATGCAGGTTTAATGTCCACATCTCTTCATTTCTCCAGACAATCTCAAATAATAAGATAACAGTGTGTTTAGTTACTGTCCATCTGATCGTTACACCATTTTCCTCCAAAGACCATAAACATTCAAGACGATCATTAGCTACAATATTGGATCATGTTTGACATCATTCCATCTAATGTGAAATCAGCAGCAAGTTCACGTTTCATGGCCAGAATGTTTCACACTATTATTTTGTTGCTAAGATTACAGCGTATATTCTTTCTTTTAACTAGAAATAAAATGTCCATGTATGCCCTCCAAAACCTCATAAAACTCAGTATGAATAGTGCCACTCAGGTTAAGTTCTGATAAAAGTAGGATACTTAACTCACCAGCATTGCAGCCATGTGCCTTCCTGCACAACAAATAGATCTAACAAATCGCATAGCTCCACTAACTGGCTGACCATTCACAGATCCATTCATTTCCTCAGACGTTTTCCAGGAGAGAGGAAGAAAGTTAACAAAGATGGCTTCCACAAGTCTTGGACATTTAATGACTTCACTTGCAACTTGTGTAGAATGTTGACAAATTCTCGTAAGAATATTCAGAATGTCCTGAACAGTAGGGGCTGCTGGACAACAGACTTCAAGTATGTATCTTAGTCTCGGCAATATACTCATCTGAATCAGTCCCTGGGAGTATTAAAAAACATCAAGATATCACAAAAGTCTAGAATATGTAATATGCCTCTCAGGTAATTTTTCAGACTGATCTCTATAATTTTGTTAAAGAATTATTTGACAGAATTTTATAAAAGATGAAATTATTATTTTGCCTTAGGTGATCATTCTGTTCTGGTTAAAAATTTACTTTTGATCGTCTAATTTACTTCATATCTGATCAGAAGCACTACCCAATCTGGGTAGTGACACTTCATCAGTGTCGAATTTCTATCCTTGTTCCTCAGGCACCATTATGCTACGAAACAAGTGGAAGCATTGGTTTTCTCAGGCTAACTGTAGTTCCTTGCAAGATTTTTCTCATTTCCTTTTGCTTTGTTCCCTTTTATTTTCGAAGGCTTTATTGTGTTGACTGCATTGTTTTCTTCCTTTTACACCACGAGTTAATATATTACAAGGATAAACTGATTTTCTTAATTATCCATCCATTCTGCAGAATATTGATTTTTTTTAACCCCAAAAAGTCTCTAAATTGTCATCATTCAGCCTACAAAAAGCCTTACACACAATATGTATGCAGTGGTACTACTATTGAGTCCATCCCATGTAGTTTTTGCCCAGTTTTAGCTCAGTCTGCATTGCTACATACTTTAACAACATCTTGTTTGAGTAGCTCAGCATCAGTCAATCCCTTTTCTCCTTCTTCCTCTTCATTAGACCTTTTTTGTTCTTTCTCAGTAACAGGGCTCAATGATGGAAGTTCATGTCCACGTGGAAAGCTGAACAACTTATCAGCTAATTCCTACAATGAAAGGTCTGTAAGTATTTAGGGATTATTCTAAGAAGGAACCCTCTACAATTAATGAAGTATCGAGGTGCTGGGAAAATGCCCTTGTTCTATACTTTACAGGAGCAAATCATGCTGAGCTCTTGATTATTACAAAGTGGTTTGTGTGGGTCATAACTACTGTTTTAACTTTTTCTTCAACAGTACCTGACATGGGAACCAAAACTATCCACCTGTATATCCAGTGAACATTCTCTTAATTCTCATGATCTGTATTCAGGGCTCAAAATTGGGAATAATATGGTCGCCAATGCGACTGACATTTTCTCCTTGGCGACTACAAATTCTGGTTTAGAAGCCACTTTGGAGACCAGACTTCTCTATGATTTAGATTTAAGCATTTTAAAGAAAATAAAAGTTAGAAATTTAGTTTTCTGGGAGTGACAGGGTTAATAATCATGCATACCTTGTCACTTGGCACAATGAGAATAGCAGTAAAACACTGGATGGCAGCTGCTATGACGGCATCGGAGGAGTCATCTAATGCCCATCTGAGAAGAAACAGAACTCCTGCATCAAGAAGAACGGACACTATATTGTCATCAAGATGCTCTTGAAATACACCCAGCTGAGCCTGGAAAGAATTCAGAATGGAAGACACAAAACAGGTAAGCCTTGCAGTTAATGAAAACATATACCACATGAGAAGTTCACTCATTTACAAACTGAAGGACTGCTGAGGGTTACAGCCTTGGAAATGATGCACATTTTTCCCCGAAAACCTGGCAAGGTTGAAAATAGGGAGACATTATACAATTTGTCGAACAACCTGAAAAAAACTCGTAGCACCTGTGATACTAGTTGAAATTAGCCTGAGAAAACTCACACATTTTACAATGCCACTTGTGGTTTGTTTCCCTGCAAAATGACCTCTATGGAACAATTGCAGAAATTCCATACTGATGACATGTCACTACCCAGATCTGGGACGTGCTTCTGATTGGCTGTGCTTAGAGGCAAATCTGCTTAAACAACTCAGAACTGGAATTTCTGCACTCACTCGTTAGACCTCATATTGATCAGAGGGAAACCAGTGGTGATGTCATGAAATTTTGGCTGTTTAATCAAGCTTGTTGAAAAAACCTTGAGAGAAACTAATACCTGTCTTATGATCCTAGCCAGGACTTGTAGGGCCAACACCCGCTGCTGTAAAAAACTGCTTCTTGCCAAAACAATCAACTCCTCAAGGGTGTAACCTGCAGAGCTTGGGTCATCGCCATGGTGATGGAGACCCAGATACTCTGGAATGTCATCACTTTGGTCGACTAGCTTGCCATGAAAGTCAAAGCGAGCTTGCCTTCCTTCCTGTAGGGATACATGTATAGATAAAATAACTTTTATTACATTTTAACAAGCAGCACTTCAGCTGTGTAGGTAAAATTCATTATCAGGCAAAAAGCATTCAGCCTAGGGCGAGTTCCATTGGGATCAGTGATACAAGATCATTCAGATCATACTGCATCAAAGGAAACAACAAATCCACTCTGAGAAAGGATTGATTGGTTCATTTGATGTATGATGTACTATACCATGCATGGTCCGAGTGATCTCTGATCAGTGATCCTGATCTTGATCACCCCTAGTTTGATTCCTTTGTTTCCTAGCAATAAAGGAGACAAACAGGGAAAGTCTGGTTTAACTTAAGAATGAATTTTTATCTACAACATTGCCTCTTGGCAAAGTTTGTGTTCTTTGATGGGTTTCACATGATGTTCAAAGAATTACAATCAAGGCTGTTTCGGAGGCAGGGTCATAATTATAATCTAAACTGTTCATTCCTTCTCCTATAATTTTCTATTAACTTCCTCCCTCCCTCCTCCAAGTGTAGATTATTGACGTTTATTGTCATGCATTGCTCCTCACCACAAGAAAAGAGCAGGAGCATTGTGTGATGATACAATAAAGAATGCCTGCAATGGAGACTTGTAGCTAACTGGAGAGAAAGATAATTGCATATACCTTACTTTCCACAGCACTGGGTGTCTGACAGTCTTTCATCCATTCTAGCTTCTCGGTTTCCACTGTACCCATGTGAAGCCACTTACTGGAAACCTCCATATCACCAATTGTTATGCAACCATCTGCTGTTGAATGATCTGATATTGTTTCTTCTTCATTATCCGGTTTTATTATTTCAACATTTTCACTGAAGTGCACATGTTTCCCATCATGGTTAGATTCTATATCCATTGCACAGCTTGTAATATGTCCATGAAATTCACCTCCATTGCTCCTCCCCATGCTTGTATCTGTGTGTGTTCTTTCATCGATGTTTTTCTTCTGTCTCAATGTTAAAAATGCAACAAGACTTGGATCTGACAAGAAGAAAGTCAGACTAAGAAATGTGTGATTTCATAATATGTAAAATCAAAAGAAATGTAGCTATACATGTAATTAGCCATCATTAACCTTTTGCTAACAGTATCACGGGCCACATTTTAATACAGTTGACTCGCAATAACCCGAACCTTCTAGGGAAATCAAAAAAGTTTGACTTATCGGGAGTTCCAAACAAATAACTGGAAGTAAGCAAAAAAACGAGGAGGCAATGCAAGTATCATGTACACTTCACAAGGATGGACACTGAATTTGAACTGGAGTGACAAGAAAAATAACGACAAAGAAATGACACGGTTGTTTTGAAATAAATTCAGTGCTTCAGACTTCTGTACAGTGGTACACCATTTTTTTTCTGACTTGTCCGTGCTTAAAATAATATATGGTTCGAGTTATCTCAATATAAATAATCTGAAGAGAAACAAAAATTACTTTGAGTTTGCGGGAGGTTCAAGTTAGTGAGGGTAAAATTACAATAAATTAATGTATGAGAGAAATCCAGGGGAAATCGACTTTGGTTCAAGTTAGCGCGAGGTTCGACTTAGTGAGGGTTTGAGTTAATGGGAGTCAACTGTACATGTATCAATGGTAAGTGCATCGTGTACAGAGATGAGAATTGTGGGAGGTGCCTGTAAGGCTGATGGAGCCCCGAACTGAAGCCGAGTACAATGTGTTAACTCGAGGGAAGCATCCACCCTGTGGCACCTTCTCACTGCCAATCAGTGGAACCTAGCATACTTACTATATACTTACCATAGGTGGGGTTGGGGAGAGGGAATTTCACAGGGTAGTGAGCAGAAAAAAAAACACTTTGCAAGCACAAGCCAGGCTGAAAAACAATGACACCCGGACGTAAATGGCCTGACCTCAAGAGAATGGCTGTTAAAAAACCATGAGCCCCATGCAATGGGATAAGGGCACCACAGCATAACTCCAACAGGACAGTACTGGCCAGAAAGGTCTCTACAGTATAGTTTAACTTATTAAGCAAGCTTAAAAAGGTTTGTCTTTAGCCTAGACTTGAAAAATGCTAAACTGTTTGCACAGATAGAAGACTCGTACTGTGTCACCACGGTGATATGTACCTCCTAGCACCCTTTCAGGTTTTGTCTGCTACACACACCCCTTCCCTATGCAGCATCTTTTTCCCGGCTCACCTCTGTTGACCAGTGTAACTGTAACAAGTTTTACGCTGAGCGTAATTTCTAGACTTACCTAAGGAAGCCTTTATCCTGGCTTGTTCCTCCAATATTTCCTCATGTGACATGGATTCTAGTTTAGCAATGTTCTCCTTATGTATTTCTTCAACTTCCTTATTTAAAAGCATTTCTTTGCTACCAGATTGCATAAGACCCTCTCCAGAGACAACTGAAGAATTGACAAATTGTGGAGCTCGAGGTGAATTAACTTTAAGAGTCTCACTTGTTTTCTTTTTAAGCTGTGAATTATCCCTCTTACGTTCTTTGACACCAAAGGTAATGCCTCCTGAAGCTGCAAACTGTTGTGCAAATAAGCTCCTTTTGCCTTCAGAGTTATTGCCTTTGGTTGATGATGACGTCTGTTGGAATATAGGTACACGTACATGAACTCAGTTAACCCCTAAGGTCCCAAGAGTGACCAACACCAATTTTCTCCTAACAACATCAGCAGATCATCAAGAGTAAAGGTTATGAGAATTACTAGATTGATTACCAAAGGGAGAACACTTTGATCTTAAACCAAATTCTCTCAACTATTCTTAAAAGAAATGTATGGAGATAAGTCTGGAGAATTTGTTTGTGGATCTTGGGGCTTAAAGGGTTAATACACCATAGAACAGACTAGAGATATAAATGAAATATATCAGAAAATTACAAGCTTCAGTGAGACAATTATTTATATCAGTATGTGTGGTTAGGCAGCTTTAAGATTTAATGAATTTTAAATATAAAAAAACTCAGCTTTGCTGAGTAATTAAGAAATTCAACTGAATTTTAAAAACTGATTTGTATGAAGTGGATTCATAGTCAAAAAAATTAATAATCACCTGATCGGTTATATTTCCACGATGAAGAGCTACAGGGAATCCCCTTTCAGACACCTCAGGAGCTTGGATACTTCCATACTGAATTTCCCTCTCCTTAAAATGAAGAAAAACAATCTTCATTAATGCAATATCTCGACTTTTTTGATACAAACTACAATCAATAATAATTATTATAGTACACCATTCATACATGTATGCCAATAGGGTTTTAGTGTTTTAGGAAAAAGAATTAATTTGACAAAAAGTCATACCATAATACATATACATGTACATGTTACAGGTCAAAATTAAATTCAGGCTAAAAATTTTTAACCTAGGTTGATTCTCAATGTCCTTTGTCTCCTAGCCCTGATTAATTTTAAATTTGATGAATAATTAGGGCAAAGAGACAAAGGAAATTGAGAAACAACCTAAGTTAAACAATTTTAACTTGAATTTAATTTTGACCTGTAACATGTAAGTATTACCCCAGACAACAGAATGTACCTCTCTAATAAAAAGAAATAGAACTTATGCATGTTGTGGTTCAATTTTTTTTCCTAGATCTAATCTAAATTTTCTTCATTTAAAAGTCAATGATACATTAAAATACCAAAAGCAAAGGAGATAACATTTGAACAAAAAAATAATTGATCCACTACATGTACAATGTATCTGTATACCTTAATTTGAGAGAGCACTGAAGTAACATGTCTGTCATGAACTGCCAAAAACAACAATAAAATACTTTTAAGTAATGTTTACATAGATGATACTATTATATTTAATGATCTTGTACTTTTTGCTAGTATTATATTTCCCTCTTTGTGAAAAGCCTCTAGTGTTAGGGAAATCAAATGGTTGATGATCTCTCATTAAGTGATATTAATTTGATCACAACATTATATTTTCATTCTTGCAACCCTAGCCTTCTAAAGACACTTTTTGGGTGGGGAAGGTAACAACAAAAACTAATATAGGAGCATCGAAATGCCCTTATCTTGAACAGAACTCGGCAGGTAACAATTTTGAAATATCACTACAAATCATGCTATTACCTATACTAACTGAATTAATATTAACCTGCCATTGGAATAATTAAATTACTTAATACCTACTGTCTAGTAGTTCTGCACAGTCTATATCCTCTTTGTCATTTTGCTCTTTATTCTTAAGAAAGAAAAGAAAGCTCATTTACCACATAATATATCACCTGCTTTATTGCACCTCACTAAAAAAACTTTAAGTTGTGTCACTGACAGGGTCTGGACTAGTTTGAATGCACAGTATAGTACTGTACATGATGTAAGCTTCTTTAAACCAAAAGAATGTGATTCTAGGAAGGTGGCCCTTCTTTTCCCATTCCCTCATCTAAGTATGTAGTGCTCAGTCAGTCATAACATGCCAACTCTCCCAGATGCAGCACCAAAATTAATCCCCTGCTCTCCCAGAAGAGTCAACAAATCTTGCAAATAAAGTCGACTTTTAGAGCTCTTCTGGCCTTTAGCTTGGAATTTACTCCATTTCCTCAAAATCTAAAAATGTTTTTGATTCATAGTACAGTTTCTGGGCATTCTTGCATGAGTTTCATCACTGACAAAGATTATTACTATGAAACTCACAAAACTGTGAATATTCACACCAGAAATATTCATGGAATGTTACTAATGTTACTGTGAAAGCCAATAAGGAGTGAGAAACCTAAACTGCAAACAGCAACAGTAGCGGTGTATGATATTTGCAGACTGCAGACTGCAGACCGCAGACTGCAGACTGCAGACTGCAGACCACAGACTGCAGACTGCAGACTGGAGACTGCAGACTGCAGACCGCAGACTGCAGACTAGACTGTAAATTGAATGAAACCAAAAATATCGTAATCAAGGTGGTGTCATCATCAACAATACCTTTTTTTGAGAAGTACACGTAAGGCCTAGAAGCGAAGTTTTTTCACGCAAATTACACCGACCTGATTCCTGAGGGAGTTATTGGCTGTTCGTCTCGTATTGAATTAGAGCAGAACAATGTCTGCCGATGTCACAAACTCGCTCATGAATCCATAGCAACAGGCTAGCAATTTAGCCTGCACCACAGACAAAACTAAACTCTGGTTACATATGTCTGTCTGTGAAACAGCGCCAGAATCCTTATTCTACGGGGGCCCCAACTGTGTACTAGCTGGATTTGAGCATGAGCAATGATTGGCCTGTTAAAAAAGCCATTGTCGATTTGCCTAGTTAGAAATTCAAAATGCACTGCCGGTAATTCATCGAGTCCAGTTAGAATCTGTTTGGTTTAGATTATTTGGCATATCCTTAAATACTGCTAAGATGAAATACGTCATTTAAGTGTTAAATGTCCGTGATCTATCCTAGTTGTTTTTGTGCACGTAACTGTAGTGAGCACGAAGTGCTCGCAATCTTAACACTTTTTTTTACAGAAGACTACTATTTAGACAGGCATTAATGGGCATTCCTACTTGTCATTATCAATTCACAATAATCAAAGAAGAATAAAGAATCAACGAAAGTAAGTGATATGGTAAGTCGATAAAGAGTCGGGTCGGTGAAGAATAGCCAACAGCGTCTTGGAAATAAGGCCAATGTTACTTTGCGCAAAAACATCAACCTTGTTCGCAGGCTACTTTCTCACTTTCACATTTTGTATGTTACAATTTGGAGACTGTGTCAATTTAATGATCTGTCTGTTGATATTTGGCAGAGGGAGGGGGGGTTAATAAAAAAAAAGAGTGGGTCTCCAGATTTTAGATCCCCAGAGGTTGGCATCTCTGTTAGGGAAACTTGGCATACCTGTTAGAATATACATACACAAACCTGACGTCTTGACTTGAATCTTGATTTCTTTTTAGGTGGAAAACCAGGATCTGCTTGGCTAGGAGGCTGCAATGTTGGAAGCCCTTTAAAAAGATTGTAAAACACATTTTATGCTTACATGTGTTAGCAAGTGCGCGGGCTTGGGAATAATGACCTATGCAGTTTGGTAGGTTGTTTTCTATTAATTTTCTCCTCACTCATTAAAAATGACAAAATATACGCAATAAGACATCTGTTACCTTCCAAAGTAACAACGTCCCTTTCTACTTCGGGTGCAGAAGGAGAAACGCGCTTTCCCCCTGCCGATAAAGGGCGACTCTCTCCTTCATTATTCGAACGAACGACAGTGGCTGATGGGTTTAAACGACCTGCAAGGAACTCCTCTTGAAAACGAAGCAGATCGCTTTCTGTATCTTCTGTTCCAGGCCTGGAAAACATCCTGAACCTGCTGAACCTCCTGAACGTGCTTCCATGCAAAATGACCAATTACCCCTTCATGTAACTCTATCACAAAAATCGCTGCGTACATAATGTCATATAATCGCAATAAAGTGTTTCTCCACCTTGTTCCTTGATCGGGGCGCTTTATCGCCTTTCGCGAGTACCTTTTTTGTATGGTTCGTTTGATATTTCAAAGCTTTTGAAACTCATAAAAGTTAACTAAGAATAAGCTCATATCAGTTTCTGGCGATTTTACCATATAACGGTTTCCTCTGTACAACATGCACACAGTATTCGTGCTTGGGTGACCTGTGACATGCCATGCATATATTTAAAATGGCGGACGAGCTGGAAGGTCTTCGGCGGGAGATTGAACAAAAAACTTTGGAGCTTGAATCATTAAAAAACCTGTTAGCCCTCAAGGTAAGGAATGTTAATTGCTGAATAGAATGCAACAGTTTGTAGAGGCATTAAGCGATTTTATTGCAAGGCCCTGTGCTCGCCCTTGTTGTGCAATTATTAAGCTTATGTTTGTTCACTGGTTTGTTCTTCTTGATCGAATGCAACGTGGGTTTCAAATTAAGGGAAGCGATTTCGCTTGTATTCAACAGTTTGCAAATGTTAACCCAGGACCTTCTCAAGTACTGTAATAGGGTCAAAGCGCAGAGTGCAGAGTAACTTTATTGATGTGGAATTGTTTGTTGTGTGATGTACTTATAATACAAATATTATAATTGCATGTGTGTCTCTTAAAAAATAATGTAATTTTAGAAAGTTTGAAATGCTTCATGGTCTGTGTTTTTACAGGAAAAAGAGTATGCTACCCATGCCCTAAATGGGTGTCCTCCGGCATCTAACTGCTCCAGTTTTATAGAACCTCGGAAGACAGACAAATTGAATAACAGAGATATTTTGCGGTATAGCAGGCAACTGATATTACCAGAGATTGGTGTTAAAGGTATGGGGTTATTCAAGACAAACGTAAATTATTTTCAATATCATGTTTATGGTGTCTTTGACAACCCTTTCATTTCCAAAGTCAATTATTATTGAGGGACAAAATGTTGTTACAACTCTGTGGATGAAAACCTTAATTGACTTGAGTATTTCCATTATATGCCAGCTCTCTCAGAGTACCTGGGAGTACCATATAATTTATTCAATTTAATGCCGCCTTCGAATAAACGCTGCCCTCGATCAATCGCCGCAAATGGAAGCAAAATTACCAATACTGGTAAACACCGCCCTTGAATAAACACCGCCCCTAGAGAAATGCAGCAATTACTTGAGGATAATAAGAAAAACCTTGGTACAACTTTGTAATTTATACCTTCCAGGCATTTACGATTCTATCTCAGTAAAATAAAGGAGACATTGGAACCATTTTCAATAACTGTCGTCAGTGATTTAGAAAAAGTCATTTCGAAATAAACGGCGCCCTCAAATAAATGCCGCCCTTGAATAAAAGCTGCATTGGAAACACTAAAAATTTAATAAACGCCGTGTCGTTAAATCAAATAAATACAGTACCGTGGATTTGGCACAAATCCCCAATACACTCTCCCATTCAGATCGCCAGTTCTCCTGAGATAAAATTTGATTTTTAGCCTTTCCGTGATAAATGCCTATTGTGTTGCCTATTTTTTCCAATTAATGTCTTTTTTTTTACAAAAAGTGTAAGTACAATGCATCAATGGTTTTTGCAGCATTTTGGGGCGATATTGAAGTCAGGGGGGAGTACTGCAGTAGTCATAGAGGCATTCTATCTCTTGAGGTTGGCATCTCTGCAGATCGTTTGCATGGTCTATTTCTTTTTTTTTGACTTTATAAAATGACCTTAAGGATTTTCCTGCAATTTTTGTTTTGATATTGTTTGGAGTGAAAGAGTTGGAAAACACCAAATTTTACTGAAAGTCACCATGACAGCAACTGACATGCAATCATTGAAGCATTCCTAGCCTCTTATGATTAGCTCAGATATCTCACTCTTTCTAGCTGTAATTATACCTCATGCCCCTGGTCTCATGCGATGCATTATTTTTTTCCAGGACAGATACAGTTGTACAATACATCGGTACTCATTATAGGAGCTGGTGGTCTTGGGTGTCCTGTGGCACAGTATTTAGCAGCTGCTGGAGTAGGTATGCCTTTTGCCTTTTAACTATTTGAAGCAATGTCACAACAATATAAATATTGTAATGTTATGTTGCGCTAAAAATTGTTGTTGTGAATTGCCTTGTTTAACATCACCTTTAGGGTTGGTCTAAAAAAGAGAACTATACATGACTATAGCACTGACTTGTGCTGGATTGCATATTAATTAACTTAAAATAAATTGTTCTTGGTGTGGTGGTTAAGAAGCCAGTTCACTTATTTTGAACCCTGTTATTCTCAATGGTGCCAACATCTCAATTCAAGAAAAATTTCAAATTTACTTTCAAAAAATTGTGGAAAAATATTGAAGAGAAAATAGTTTAATTTGAGTAAAGACAGAAAGGTATCATTAACTTTGAATTGTGATATCAAAGGATGTCATCCAAAACGTAAAAGAACCAGGGAGACAACAGTGTTCTACCTAAGTTTTTGCTTAGCAGGTCAGGGACCATTCACAGCCGGTAAGGCAAAAAATATGTACCACAGAGGGGTACGTTTCACGAGACAGGCGGTTAGTGTAGTGCAGGAAATGGCCCCGCTCTTACCGGGAAATTTAGGAGCTAAGTTCTGAAATGTTATTCCCTAAATGTAAGACCTGCTTTATGCAAATTGGCTGTTGTTACCTTTTAACAACAAATTAACACGACTGATTTCAATAGTGTCTTCAGTGTTCTCTTTCTAAAATGTGTGGCACATAAAAAGAAAAGCTGTGTATACTTAAGTAAGTCCATGTAGTCATTCATTTTCTTGTGGCATGTGATAATTGGATCAGATGACAACTTGTGTATTTTTCAAAAGTACTTCTTTAATTTTAGTAAACCTTCAGGCCACTGCACGCGGTAAAAAGTGTTGCTTCAGGTGGTAAATTTTACCGGTTACTGCCTGATAAGGAGAACACTGAGACAATCGTAAGTATGCAACGGTCTGTCACATCATGACTTGTTCTTGATCTCATACATTCAGAGTAATTCAGTGTAAATAGGTTGCATGACAATTTATTGCTCTAATCAAAGAGCCCGCAATGTTGGCCTTTGCTTGAATTTATTTGAGTCTGGGAGCCAAATGATTTTTCTTGAAAGTTGTTTTGGAATTGTCTACTGTTGCAGGTTGCATAGGAATTGTCGATTATGATACAGTGGAAATAAGCAATCTTCATCGACAAGTTCTTCACACAGAAGGCAGGGTGAACATCTCCAAAGCCGAATCTATTAAAATCCAGTTAAATCAGTAAGTTGTTATCTTTAAAATTAATATTTGATATCCATAATGACAACCAACAGCAACCTCCTAGTTAAATAAAGCTGTCCTTGTTATTATTAAAGCTATGTGGGGAAAATTGAATTTGGGACTTCTGAGAACAAATTCAGCTAGCTCTCAGGCCAGGACTTGAACTCGGGGCCTGCGGAGACCAGCGCACTAATCGCTCGGCCATCTTCACTAGAAACTCAATACAAACAGTTTGTGTTCCACCACCCCATCAACACAGTGTATCATAATTTCTTTAGAAACCAGCCCTTTTATTCATCTCTTCAGTTTATTAGGTAGGTGTTTATACTTTGGATCTCTACTAGTACCATGATTACATTTGGAATTGAATGGACACACAAAGCAACTTCCAGAACGTTAATATTTCTCTTTGCTCAGTGTCTACATGTAAATGTAAGCACTACCTTTTCTGGTCTTATTAATTTTTACTTGACTTTTCATTTATCATCAGGTTGAACTCAACTGTCAAGTGCATACCATACAATGTGCAGCTTACAAGCAGTAATGCTCCAGAAATAATTGAAAAATATCCTTTTATTTTTACACTACTTTATTATTGTCTTTTAATTTTAAGGGTGCCTACAGTTCATTCGGTTCATTCCCAGTATTTTATTCCTTAATTAACAAACATATGATATTGTGTTAGATGCAACAGACAATGTGGCTACCAGGTAAAGTTGGATTTACTTCTAATCAGAGTGATGTATGCATTTAGTCTTTATCCAGGGCTAGAAAAAATGTTGAAATCTAGCTTGTCCTTTGAGTATAAAGTGGCTCTCACATTTTGTTTGACTGGAACCATTTCTTGCTCGTCGTAGCTGTGATTTTGGTATTGGATGACTTGCCCAGACCCTTGCCCAGTAAGAAAATCTACTTTTCCCAGACTACTGATTGGGACTTTTTTCGAGCCCTTTTTATTATCACAAAATGACACAGGTTGTTTTGCGATTAGCAAGCAACATTTCATATTTGATGAACTTGCCTTTTCTAACCAGCTTGTCACATAGACAATCAGAGCATTCATTAGGCATCGGAGATCGGAGAATATTTCTCTGTTTACTATGCAGAATTTTCTGGCTAACATTCGGTAGCCTATGACAATTTTTATTCAGACATGGGGACTCTTTCAGAATATTCTTGTGTACTGTTACACCTTTATCCTGCTACTAGAATTCTTATTGTATTTTTATCAGGACATGATGAAATGTGTTCAGATGATTTCTGTATAAACAAACAGCTCGCCCCATCTTCCCCACTCCCAGTTATGAATATAGACCCTTTGCAGCTCACCCTTCAATTCATGTGACCTGCTTGATCCAAAAGTTATGGGATATAACTGAAACAATACTGGAGATGGAAAAGGTGTTAGAAAACTAGCTTGGAAACCAGAAGTGATTGATACAAAGGAATAAGATTTTATGGCTGTTGGAATAATATTATTACAGTCTACAAAGTTTTAAGGGTTTATATGGAAGAAATTCAAACGAACATGAAATGAAACCGCATGTGAAGAGTATCAAACCTACCGATGAAATTATATTTGGCAAACCCAGCATTTGTGTTATGCTCTTTAGATCTCTACCGCATATTTGCATCCCATAATTTTGGGAAAGGCCCTATTTAAACAAAGCTTAGAGTGAGGTCTATGTGTATTCTCAAGGGTCACGTTGAAAATTAAAAAGTAAGTATATGTTACAGGTCAAAATTAAATCTAGGTTAAAAATTTTTTAACCTAGATTGATTTTCAATTTCCTTTGTCTTCTAACCCTAATTCATGAATAGTTACAGCTCAGAGACAAAGGAAATAGAGAATCAACCTAGGTTGAACATTTTTTAACCTGAATTTAATTTTGACCTGTAACATATACATCATGTAGTCTAATTGAGTAAATATCTTCTGTAATTCTTGATCTCTACCTGTACCAGATATTTGTTGAATGATGCCTGTGTTTTGGCAAAGAAGCCCTTGGTATCTGGCAGTGCCTTGAGATTTGAGGGGCAGGTAGGGTTGTATTCTATCTCCTATGATCTGAATATATTTTACTTTAAAGTTTTGTTTGTTTCCTCTTTTGACAAACTCCTGTACAGTAATCAAAATTTTATACAGTCAAACCTGTATATGCGGCCCTGTTTATAGTGGTCACTCTGTATATTACGGTCACCGCACAACTTCCCTAAATTTTCAGTTGCCCTATATTTTCTGCAAAGTTGACCTGTTTATAGGGGTCACCCTGTATATAACAGTCACCTTGCCATTTCCCAAGGGTGACTGTTGTACACATGTTTGACTGTACATCATAGAATACAAAATTTAGATAAAGGCAGGCCAATAATACTCCAAAATAAATGTTTCTGTTTTCTTTGAAAGTTGACTGTCTACAACCATATGGGGGGTCCATGCTACCGCTGTCTATTCCCCAGTCCACCTCCACCAGAATCTGTTGGAAACTGCTCAGATTCAGGAGTCCTGGGACCAGGTAGGACAACAACACAAATTAAGGTGATTTAGCAAAAGCTATCCATCACAGTGCAAAAAAAATGTTTTTGTCTGATTTGCTGATGTGATTATTACTATTTTTTATAATATTTTTTAGTGCCTGGTGTTATTGGTACACTACAAGCTCTAGAGGCTATAAAAATTGCTGTTGGAATAAAACGTATCCTTATTGTATATATATAACATTATGCACTTAACGTCAGATCCTGAGGGAAACAGTTAGTTTTGTTTTCCCGAATATATATATTCCTCCTTAATTTCACTGTCAGCCTCCTACTCGCAAAAGATGTTAATTTATGATGCACTTGATGGCAGGTTTCTTACCATCAAACTACGACCAAGACAGTCATGCTGCTCTGTTTGTGGAGACAATCCTACAATAAATAAACTGCAGGATTATGAACTCTTCTGTGGAGCCTCTGCTACTGATAAGGTCATTAGAAGAAAAAAACTCATAATAAATGTACAACCACCTTTCACAAGCTAATGACCATTTAAGTAATTTTTGCAAGGTTACCCCCCTGCTTCTCCAACAATATGTTGCCGTGCAATAGAAAAGCATCCCATTATGGAATCGCTCCTATTGAGTTGTGTCAAATGTTTCTGTCAATCAAATGTCTCCTATTATTTGTAGGTGGAAATTTTTTAATTGGTGTAGAGCGATTGCATTTCCTAATAAAAGGGAGAGCAGTGCGAAAGCTTTGAATTATCGATTTGCTTATTTAAAAGTTAAATTACCTTAGTATCGTGGAAACAATACGCTAACACTTCATCCAGAGTCAAAGGATGCAACATGCGTCTGCATCCTTTGTGAGCACGCAAAATTAATAGTCATGGGACCCGTGATTTTACAGCCAACATGGATCAGTTGGCAGAATTCCCTAATACCCTCGATTCCAGGGGGAGTAGTGCCTCAATAGCTGCTGCCATGAGGGCCTCATGGGGTTGGCTTGTGTGCATCTTCACCTTACCTTTACCCATGTAAACTATGTACTTTTCCCAATCAAGGCACTTTTAATGTGGGCCTCTATGAAACATGACCACTTCTCATAAGTGACACCACAACCACTTCAATTTCTACTTCTCTAGTTTAGAATCGAATTTTGTCCATTGGTCTCTGATCTTCCACACAATGTGGTCTAATCTCTTTTAGCACCATGCTTCATCATAACTCAGAAATTCTGTGCAATAAAATTATTATTTTCTCTTTGATTGTGGACACGTGTGCCAGACCTGTTCCAGGGGATTTGTTATGGTTAAATCCATTTTAAGGTTAAACTGCAATTGTTTAACTAGGTTACCGAATTACAGGCCTTAGGGTAAACTAGAACCCATTCAGACAGGCTAACCATGATAGGTTAAACAGCTGTTTACCCTGAGAATGGATACAGATGCATGAACCCGTTGTGGTCAGACTCTAGCAAGTGACCAACTGAGTCTTACTGGGCTGACGGGTCCAAAGCCAACCAAACAAAGGACTGCTGTAAGCAATCAAGTTTTATATGACCTGCTTGAATGGTGTTTTTCTTTACTTATAGACCCCATCTTTGAGAATTCTACAGAAGCAACAAAGAATCTCTGTTCAGGCAAGTAACTTTTATTATCAAAGTTTTACCATAATATTATTATTACCCACTAGTATTGGCTGTCCAAAAAAGGTTAAAGATTTTTAAATAATGACAAGTTTAGGAGCAAAACTCAAGAGTGAAAATTGAATACATTTGACTATAATGCACTCGAAGGCTGCTAGATTGCCCTAGTCGTGTAGTTTCTTGGCAGTGTGCTGTTTAGAAAAAACAACAGAGGACTTTTGTCTAAGGAAACAACAAAGTTGGCAGAATCCATGATGTGAGCTGTCCTTTATATACACTTACATCGTAATGGCTGCAATAATATTTTCCCTTTTTTTAAAATAATGATAAAATCATGAAATTTATTTGGATCAGTCATGAGACCCTCTTTGGGGGTTATGTATGTCCCTAGTCTGAATTTCAAACCTGTTGTTTCGCGTTTTGAGGAGGGAGCCTTTGTTGGTATTTTACTATTGTATTTGTGCTTTTCTCTGTCGCTGTTGCAGTTTCAACTCATCTTTGTGTCTTTTGTCATCATTTCTGCTATCCTATGTTGCTTTTTCAAGGCCATGTTGATTGTCAGAATTTTATTCTAACAGGGCCTCAGTCATGTGCTCCTGGATCAGTATTGATTCTGGGAAACTACCACCTACCCCTCTCCTAACCCAACTAACCCAACATTTTGCCCTTAGTGAGAGGTTAGTGTCAGCCTTGGGTTAGGGGAGGGGTGGGTGGCATTCCCAACGTCTTTAATATACTGATTGCAATGGTCAATTCTATCGTTTCTGCTGATGAGTGGGGAAGAGGCCAGGTCCCATTTGTTTTAATGTCTGATAGCACTATCCACTGCATAAAATCACTAGATCCAGTAGATAGGTAAATTAGGGAAACCAAAAATGCATTATCTGGACACTGGATACATGTAGAGACTTATCCAAAAATAAATCCACCTTTTGAACAACAGGGGGGCCAGAACATTAAAGTTTCAGTTAGGTCAAAATTTTTCATTCCTGAAAGTTGGCACCTTCTACAGTAGACCTTATTTCTTAGTTCCTCACATGCATTTGGAGTAAGCTTTCTATATTCTCATGGCTTATTATCTTTTAGGAATATAAACAAGTGGTTGAACAAAAATGTCCTCACATTCTTGTGGATGTACGGGAACCTGTTGAACTGGATATATGTTCTCTTCCTGGATCCTTAAGTATCCTTTGCGGTAAAATGTTTGTGCATAGTATAAAAAACCACTCATGACTGAATAAGCGATCTCTAGTAAATAAGTACATCCACCCACCACCCAGAACCCACAGAATGCACAGAAGTTATCATAAAAAATTCACTGCTGATTATGCATACTGGTTGCGGCAACAACTAACAGATTCATTTTTCAAATTATCGATTCTTCATGGAATCTTAGGGTGGGGGGTACACTTGACCTGGGCTGACAGTAATACAGGTGAAGTTAACGTTGTTGATCATGTTGCTGATGATGATAACAGCAGTGATGGCAGTGATCAAATAACATTCTCAAACTCATTAATAATTCATAAAGAAAATACAAAGACAATTAATGTTTAATGAGTGTTTGGAAATCGGATGAAAAACTGCTCAGTATTTGCATCCTTAATTTCTCCTTCAAAAATGATTTTGTTTGAGAAGAAATATCAAACATTCGACACAGTGTTTCATCACCAGATGAAACACCTCGAAGTTCGTCAAAAATACTCCGCTGCGCGTCGTATTTTCAACTCTCTTCTCGGTGTTTCATCTGGTGATGAAACACTGCGTCTCATGTTTGATATATTACGTAATATGATGACAATGGATTTGCGTACTTTGAGTGATAGGTATATATGGGTATAAGAACCTTTATTGTTATTGCATTCCATTTTGAGTAACTCGATCATTTTCCTCAGCTAATATGCTGCTTGCAAGATATTCCTCTGAGAATCCTTCATTCTTCTGAGCAGCAGAAAAAACTTAGACAGGCTGTTTCCCATTTTGCTGAAGAAAATAAGTTAAAAGCAGTTAATGGTGAGTGGTTAACTGACTGTAATAGAAATTAAAGATGAATTCATCTGCAAATGCGATAGCCTGTGCCACAGACGGAACTCATCTTCTTGCTAAGTCTGTCTTCTAAACAGTGCTGAAATCCTAGTCCTGGGCTTCCACCTGTGTAACAGGATTTGAGTACCGGGGGTATGTGCCATGAATGGCCTGTTAAAAATGCCGTTGTTGATTTGCCAATCACCTTGACGAAAAATTCAAAATGCATCTGTGGTAATTCGTTGCGTCTGTTGGGGACTCAGAACAAGGATATGGCCGCACATCTAACTACAGGGGTTAGATTACATCTGCGACACAGGCTGCGTATTCAAAAGACTATCAGATAACACATCAATAAATAAACATTATTAAGTTATGAATATATGAAAATCATAACGTGAAAGAAGATCATCTCAGTTATAGATGCAACTTTTGCAGTTGCGAAAAGAAAGCCTGAAAAAATTCAGGCTTGTACGGGATTCAAACCCTTGACCTCTGCGATAACGGTGCAGCGCTCTTACCAATTGAGCTAACAAGCCAACTGGGAGCAGGTCGTTGAATTGGTTCATTATAAACCCGTGAAAGGATTATGATGAAGTTATCAATGTATTAAAATCATAGTTGCATCTAAGTTTACGATGATCTTCTTTTATATAAATAAGTTATTTTTGTCACTTTTAAGTCAATGAAGAAGTTACGTTGTAAATAATAACATTTCTTTAATGTATTTTTTTGAATTATTATTATTTTTGTTATGCACAAATTGTATCCTAATGATATTAATATTTCTTAATATTATTTTTGCAGTATATGTATTATGCAAGCAAGGCAATGATTCACAAAAAGCAGTCCAGTTATTAATAGATAAGGGATTTTGCAAAAATCTCGACAACCTTCTATTCAATGATGATCCATCATGTGTTAGAGACAGCACCCTAGATACATCAGCTGGAGGGAAACTCAATGTTACATTTAAAGACATTGCTGGTGGCCTTCAAGCTTGGGCCACACATATTGATAAGGATTTCCCTGTTTACTAGTGCAAATGGCTATACATAGTGCTGATTTTCTGTTCCAGTCCAATAAATATTGTAGCCTAAATTTCGGCCAATCTCCTTGAGGCACCAACCCATAAGAGAGTGTGACTCAAGGAAACCGTGCAACTTATTTATAACACAGAGGCTAGTTTGGCTGGGCAAATGACTGACACAAATAATTATCTTTAAAAATGAAACATAATTGAGTTAAGAATCCCGGCTGGCTGGAGGCAGCCTTTGTCACAGATAGGCCCACTGTGGACAATGAGTGGCTTATAGGGCCCCCAGCTGTGTAGCAGGATTTAGGTGCACGCAATGGTTGGCCTGTTAAAAATGCCATTGTTTGATGTGCCAACCAGGTTGAAGAAAATTTTGAAACACACTTCTGGGAATTTGTTGTGGGAGCCCAGAAGAAAGAAATTGGTGCTGCTTTGCAGACATTAGGTACAGTTAGATTACACTTTTTGATATTTCTTATGGAATATCACCTCATCAGTTATCTAAGTACAAGTGTCATGCATCCCTGATGGTTTTTCCATTCACCATTCATTAGCAGGAAGCAAACTAGTTAGGGCCCAAAAATTTGAACTTGGGGCTCCCATGAAACAAATCAATCCAGTGGTCAGGGCTAGACGTGAACCCAGGGCCTCCAGTTTGTAGCTCAGCAATCCAACTGCCTGGCTGGACTGCCTCCTTAAGGTAAAGACTCTGGCTGTTAGCTAAAGTATGATAACACTTTTTGTTTGAATACCAACTGAAAGACAGCTATGTGTACATTATACCAATGCGTTTAATAACATGAAAAGTATTGCAACTGACTTTAAGATAAAATAGTAATAATAATTATTAAAATTTTTTACCTTAGAATGTCTCTTTTGATCACTTTGTGACCAGATTTATGTAATGCGTGTACAAGAATCTCTTATCTTTAAAGTTAAAATTAACAGAGGTGTGAAAAATGACATGTATGCTGCATGCATAAAATTAATTATTTAAAACAAAAGATGTTAATAAAGTGATGTCATGTAGAAGAGAGAGAAATTTAGTGTTATAACAGCATCCATTTCAGTAGCTATGGCCACGTTGTTTGAAGCCTGCTAAGTAATACCAGCCTGAGATCAGTTCAGTTTGTAATCATAAGAGTGATTAACAAAATCACGGGAGTCCGCTTTGTTTAATCATGAGTATTATTACAGACCGACAAATTGGACGACAGACCGACGAATTGGACAACATGAAGTTCTCTTACCAATAATATTAATCATAGCTATAACAAAATTTGTGATATTTTAGGTTTTTTGCTAATAGCCCATTTTACAGCTACAGGTGGAAACGAGGCTGGAGTTGACCTTGTTTTGATACAACCTTTCCTGCTTTATTATGTAAATCATGTTGTTCTTATGCTAAGTAGTATTTTTAAAAGCTAAATTTGCATAAGAAAAGGGAGGAGGTTTTGTATCAAAACAAGGTCAACCTCGGCCTCATGTTCACTCAAAGGCTAGGACACTAAGTCCACAACTGTAAAATTGCCTACTGAAACAGAAGAAATTTTTAGCTAGCAGTGAAAAACGCCATTTATTAAGTGTGCGCATGTGATGGCGCATACTGTCCAATTACTTAGGTATGACGCATACTGTCCTATTGCACTGTCCTATTAGTGCTGAAATCCAGACAGTTGATAGCCAATCAGATTTGAGAATTTTTGAATAGTTATGATTAATATTGTAGAGCATATGAGTTGTCATGGCAACCACCCTACACTGTAAATTAAACATATGACCTTAGTTTCAAACAACTTCATGTAGACACAGGATATAACAACATAATAATATTGATGTTGTAAACTGATAAAGTAAAAGTATTGGGTACAGAACTGTTTCCCTATTAAAAAAATATAATTGGTAAAGGTAATTTTTTTTACATTGTGTATGCAGAAGGGCCCATTTGCTCCAAATATGAGTAATAGCAGTAGCTAGACAGGGTTTGTACCGTGGAGGAAAAGTGAAATACTAGGAAATTTCCTGGCTAATGTGAAAATGTAGAATGTAGGGTTCCACCAAAACATCCATTATACCCCCTTCCTCACCCCTCCGCCCCCCTTCCCGCCCCCGCCCATCCATAGAGGTCCCCTAAAACACACTATGGACATTCATGCAAAGCAATATCAAATTTCAGAAGGAGGATCCAATGAAAGGGATTTCAAGGAGTAGGTACAAACCCAGGCTAGGTGACCCTGTATTGTAGTGTTTCTTGCCTTTCAATAATGTTTTTTTTTCCCTCTTTTATTCTCAAATGTCCACAAACTTGTTGAATAATCCTGCCATTTTAAAAGGCTCAGTCTCTTCCCTAGATGATATGTCTAGTGTAAAAGAAAGCTACGTACATAGCTTATAGCTTATAAATAATATCAGCAGCTTGGAAAAATACACCCAGCTGATTATTTCTGTAAAATGCGTAGCATGCGTAGTGCATAAAATTTCTATCCCTCTTCAAGCTTCTTCATGTCCAGAAGACTTGTTCCATAACTTAACAAACTCTTGTTATTGCACTGAACAAGCTGTAGATCCATCCCCCATGTGCCCTGATGCTTTTGCAAAGCATATTGCTTGCATCCATTCCTGTTGGTCTTGTTCACTCTCAGCTGAGAAGAAGTAAACTCTTTTAGCTCCTCTTGGCTTTATCCTGAAGGCAAACTGTTTTTTGTCTATGTTGCAGTCAGATAATTCACATCCCTCTAACATTACTACTTTTGATTGCTCCTGTTAACAGAATAAACAAAAAACAAGTTAAGGGTTTTCTTACTTAAAGTTTTTAGTACGTGGTGTATAGCTGTTCTATGAAGAAAAAAATAATATTCATTTGTTTCTTTTGTTGAACGTAATCTGTGCCTCAGTACCTACAGAAGGAACCCATACATTAAAAAGTAAACTGTGCTGCCTCGATCTATGTGAACTATGGCAGCAGAATAGTAAACCCTGCACATAAAATACCAGTATCTTTCTGTCAGTGTTAGACCATGATATATTTATGAATTTATTTGAAAGTTTTAAAAGTTGACCTCACAAGTTTCTAAACAAGTGGACCAAGCTTTTTATGAGTTTCTGTAAAGCAGAAGTACGACTGTATCTCACCAGTTCTGTGTTTCTCGGACACTGAAAAAGCTTATGGAGCCATCTCAAAAGTCACATTTTTCCCAGTTCAATTGTTTTCCTCTGAGAAGATCCCTTGGTCTTAAGAGCATCATTTATCACTTTTGTAATTGAATCCATGTACTTTGATTGGTTGAAGTGCAGCGACCTGTTTTTGGGTCGCTAAAACTCATGCCAATCAAGTATGTGAAGTCCTTTGTCCCACGACATATTAAACGGGACAAAGGACTTTTCTCAAAGTCTAGGCTACATTGTATCACGTTAAACTATAAAACTAGAGAAAGCTTTATGTTAATGAATATGCAGAGTGTAGAGGTCCAGTTGATGTAAAGCACAGGTTAATGTACTTCTTTACATAAACCCCAGACCCATTTAAGGTGCTCAGCCAGTTTTGATTCGAACACTTAAGCGACACTTGCTCTGACACGTCAAACGTGCTTAGCCTCATCACCTGAGATCAAATATATCCGGGAAAAATCGCTTTGGATTACTTGGACTACAAACTAATGGCAAAAGCTAGAAGTGCCAGCTTTTGTATCTCTAGCCGGTCCCTTCACTCATAAAACTCATTCACTCAGTTCATAACACCAACTATAATTCGCATTTGACAAGTAACAAACTTATTGACAAACTTCATCACATGAGCTGGCTGATGGAAAATCAGAGCAAGCCATTATTTTTTTTGTCACCTCACCTCAGCTGAAAGACCATAAGATAACTCATTTTTCTTGAGACAGCACCATCGTTTATCCCAGTGTTTGGAAAGACGACTTCTTTTCGAAAGCCAGCCCTGTTTATTAATCGTATCACTCACGGAACTTCCCTCGCTCTGTTTGTCAACATTCTGTCCGCTTTCCGCCATTTCTGTTGGACATCGCGCAAAGTATTGTGGGTGATCATGCTCAAAGGAAAAAATATGGCCGGCGGCTAAGACAGGTCGCCAGGTCGTTGTATATTGCGTTTTTAAAGACTTCTAGCGCTGAATGAACAAACAAAAGTGTATCTTTGAGGGCTCAAGCATCCATGGAAACACCCTGAGGGTTTATTTGAAAGGAGATGGCGATTTATCGTCGTCGTTTGTGATGGAGCATTCCAGCAATGCAGCATGTGGTTCCTTTGCATTCATCGCGCCGTGCATTCTTGCAGTTACTTTTGTTCTTTATAACGTTAGTATCACTAACTATTTTGGCATTTTATACAACGGCAGAAAAGATCGTTTATTGTTAATAACTAATCTGCCTAAAAAAATTAATTTTATGCGTTGTCTTTTTTTTCATGTTGCTCGTTATTTTTGAGGGAGGGAGGGGGGGGCGGCGATAAGAGGGGTTGGATGTGGCTTTCTAGGAACCCAGAGCAGGAGTTTTCTCGTATAAACTGTGATAGGGTGGTGTGAAAACTTTTTTTAATTTTATCTTGAAATTTGCAATCCATGGATTTTTTCTATTTTTTTATAGTTATTGACTTTATTTTGAGCTGCTCCAAACCAAGTCATTGACTTCATTCAAGTAATGCATCAGTCAATTTCAGCATTTGCCTGCCTTGTCAGTCCCAGTGCAGCTGGAATTGACTGTTTGGTTAAGGACTGTTATACAAGCACTTAGTAGGGTAATAAAGTAATAATTATTAGTAAGTAATGTATCAAACATGAGATGCAGTGTTTCATCACCAGATGAAACACCGAGAAGAGAGTTGAAAATACGACGCGCAGCGGAGTATTTTTGACGAACTTCGAGGTGTTTCATCTGGTGATGAAACACTATGTCGAATGTTTGATATTTCTTCTCAAACAAAATCATTTTTGAAGGAGAAATTAAGGATGCAAATACTAAGCAGTGTTTCATCCGATTTCCAAACACTCATTAAACATTAATTTCCTTTGTATTTTCTTAATGAATTATTAATGAGTTTGAGAAGCATATTTCTTAAAGGGGGGATAGGGAAAGGTAGCCTGCGCCACAGACGAAACTTAACTCTGGTTAAGTTCATCTGCAAACAGTGCCAAAGTTCTTGTTTGGGCTCCCTGCTGTGTACCAGGATTTGAGTACATGCCATGATTGGCCTGTTAAAAAAGCCATTGTCGATTTGCCAATCAGGATGAAAGGAAATTCAAAATGCCCCTCCAGTAATTTGTTTGTTGGTTGCGCAGAACATAGCCTGTGAAAACATCTGTTTCTCCTCGCTTTTCGCCGCTGGGGACTTTTCGCGCAGAAAAACGTCTGTGACTCAGTGGCAGAAATTCCCTCCTGATGACGCAAATTAATGTTTACATAATAAATCTGGCAGTCATGGGGTTTTAAATATAAATTTGTCCAATTTTGCGTTTCTTCTGGTCAATTTTGGTAAAGTATTGTGTTCATCTGCCCACGAGCTCCAGCAAAAACTCAAATGTTTCTTCTAGAGAAGACTATATTCCACAAATATGGACTGTTTTGTTAGATATTCTTTGCATTTACATTTGACCTTTGTGACCTTTTGTCTCTTGTCTGTCATTCGTAAACAATAGCTAAAACAATGTAACTACTCCGTCAACCAATCAGCGCTTCTGACCGGATTCCGGACAGATTTTACGTCATCAGTATGGAATTTCTGTCGTTGAGTCACAGACGTTCCTCCGCGCGAAACATCCCCAGCGGCGAAGAGCGAGGAGAAACAGATGTTTTCGCAGGCTACGTAGAACAAGGATCTTGGTTCTGCTTTGCAGACGTTACTATCTGAGGTTAAATTACTTCTGTGACACAAGCTAGGGGAAGGGAAGATAAGACCGCTTTTATTAAAGAGTGACTGCAGTCGAATAAAGGAACGAGAAATGAACCTGTGTAAAAATAAAATAATGAATTTGTACATATTGAAATTATTATATTATTTTAAGAACTGCGGGTTGAGGAATTAAACATAAAGAAGATTGTGTGGGGTAAAACTTGATGACTTTGATAGATTTACACTCAAATTCTCCTGACTGATCTCCATACATATCTATAAAGAGTAAGTTGGAAGAATTTGGTAAAGGATCAAAGCTTTCCCTTTGTTGATTATATACGATATTGTCAGGAGAAATTTGATGTTGGTCACTCTTGGTCTGATTTAAAGGGCTGACCGGTTTGTGGTTGGCCTGTTAGCTCAGGAAGAGGTCAAATCCCAGGCTTTCCTTTTTTGATTATAACTTCTTTACATTTAAACAATCCTGCAGTTCTAACATTTTCATATATTCAGTATTTATGTGTATTATTCTTCTCTTTACAGGAACTTTTAACTTTTACAATAACCGGCTGTCTAGCTTGGACAGTCGTACTCATTACCATTGCCTGTGTTAAACTGCTGTGTTTCAATGTCTGCAGAGGTTAGTTAAACCTGCAAATTGAGTGAGATTTCTATTACTACAGTAGAGGTTCCAATCTTTCTTAACCCTAAGTTAGTTTTTGAAAACCTAATAACAAAACTGGGATCATATATCTTTTGGGGGGTGTCAATCGATGTATCGACCGATATCTCAGTCGACTGTCTGTCAGTGAGATTTCTATTACTACAGTAGAGGTTCCAATCTTTCTTAACCCTAAGTTAGTTTTCAAAAACCTAATAACAAAACTGGGATCATATATCTTTTGGGGGGTGTCAATCGATGTATCGACCAATATCTCAGTCGACTGTCTGTCAACATAACAGTCGCCATGTCAGTTGAGAGTCAACGCAGTAACAGCTGAGTGTTGGTCGAGAGTCGGTCAAGTTGCGACTGATATGTTGGCAACACTCAGCCGCTACAGTCTACTGGTGGATAGTCGGTCGATAGTCAGCCGATACTTTGCTGACTGATCACCAACAGATTGCTGACATGTCACCAACACTTGGCCTACGTACTGGCCAATACCTTGGTTGATTTGTCGGTTGATACATCTGTCATGTGGCGGTCTAGTGTCGGCTGGCTGTCGGTCTAGAGTCGGCAGCATCTTAACTGATATGTGGCCAGTACTTGACTGCTACAGTCTATCGGTCAATAGTCGGCCAATAGTCGGCTGTTACTTTGCCAATGGATCATCAACAGATCACTGACGTATTACCAACACTTGGTTGATGTAACGGCCTATACCTAGGTTGACTCAGTCAATATATTGGTCAATACTCGACTGACAGTAAAAAATCACTTGGCCCATATATCCACCGACTCTAGGCGATGCCGGTTGTTGACCGATACACCACTAATACCCTAGTGATACTTGACCAACGATTCACTAATACATTGCTGACACACTACTGATGCTATCTCGACTGACTGTCGGTCAATCTGTCGACCGATACTCGACCAACAGGAAAGTGTCACTTGGCTTATATATCATCTGACTCTCGACCAAGTGTGTTGGTCGATACTCGGTCGACTCTCAACAGGCGTAGTGGCCGATATGTTGATCGATATCTCGGTCGATACTTCGATCCACACCCCGCAAAAGATACATGATGATAATACTGACCTACCCGGCTCAGGTTGTAATGTGTTACTTCTTTTTTCTTAAAAACCTCCAAAATTTCCTTTACCTTGAAGGTTGGAAAATGGGAGAACTGTATTGTAAGTACATGTACTAGTTTGTGCTCCAAGAAAATTGTAGGGAGCCCACAGGATCAAACTGACAAAGGCTTTGGATCTATGATGACCATTATGATATTAAACTCCTCTGCAAAAGCGAACATTTTGTTGCCTGCTAACAATCCAAAAAATTACATTTGTAATAAAGTACATTGCTTGGGGCCACTAAGTTTAGATATAACACAGGCCTGAAGTAGCACAGTGTGCCAAAACCACTGAAAAGCCAATAGCTATATACTAGATACTTTATCAGAGGTTGTTATAGGGAAACAACAAAAACGAAAGGTTACTCTGATGTGAACTCTCTTCCCACAGAGTCTGTGTTGGTTGTAAAAGATCTTGGGATCCAGTTAACTAGAATAGGTGCATTTGGGCTACAAACAAGTCAGTTTATTGAACAACATAGAGTTGTTGATGTGATAATTAATGAAGTCATCACCATGGTATGTACAATATTATTTATGTCTCAGTCATTAAATAATACAATCTCTGTAGAATTAAAATCCTCATGTTTTGACCCAGAAAATATCCAAAATAACTTGTAACGATACTAGGGCCTATATTTCCACAAAATCAATGACGTATGTACTATAAATACAGAGATGCCAACCTCTGGAGATCTAAAATGTGAAGTTTCTCTCTTTTGTGTTATCCCCCCAAAAAAAAAAAAAAAAACCAAGCCCCCCTCACTAGCACTATCCCCCCACCACCAACGATTAAGCACAAATCAACCCAGTCTGCAAATTATAATGGGAATGACTTAAGAATTTATATGAAGTCTTACATAAGGCACAGACCATCCAAATTTGCTTTTATGGTTGTATATAAGGACAAAATAATCAGTGAGTGCAATCATGCCCCCAAAACCGTACTACGAATAAAGAAAATTATGAATTTTGGGGCAACATGGGCTTAATTCCAAACTAAAGCAGAGTAAAGCTCAAAAGTTTATTAATTTTTATCCGAGAGATTTGGAACCTGATGGGAGATTAGGAGATGCATGATAAATTAAAGAAAAACTCCACCTGAAAATAGTACCGGTAATGGACTATTGTCTACACAAATGTAGGTCTGAGTGAATGACACACCAAAGGGATAGGTTTAAAAATGTGACAACTTTAAAGCTCTTCTATAACAGTTGATTTAAAAAACTATTTAAAAAGCATTAAACTTTAAACATTAATTTATTTTGTTTTTTTTTATATGAATTATTGATGAGTTTTTGAATGATTTATTCCTCACCATGCCTGATCCACTAAATAATCAATAAAGGGTGGGTTCAATTGGGAAATCTGGATGTAGATTTTAAAATCTGGATTTTGGATTTGCAATTAAACGCAAAATCCGAAAATGGATTTCAACACTGAGATCATGCTGAGATATCTGTTTACGGATTTTCTTTTTACTGTTCGATTGGGAAATCTGAAAAAGGATTTGAAAAACTATCCTTAAGAACAGCGGACTTGCATGATCATGCATAATTAGCAAAAAGAAGACTGCTGTTCACGAGAATAGTTTTGCAAATCCTTTTTCGGATTTCCCAATCTAATGGTAAAAAGAAAATCCATGAAATACGGATTTGCATTTCTTAATTGAAATCCACCCTGAGGATGGATGTCTCGGAGGTGAAATCCGTTTTTGGATATCTGGGTTTCAAAATCTAAATCTGGATTTCCCAATCAAATGCAACCAAAGTCACTATAGTAGCAAAAATCTCAAAAGTCTCAGTGTTAGTTTGAAAAAAAAAATGTTTAAACCTCAGTTGGTAAAATATTTAAAATAACATGTCATAAACTACCAGTGCCTACAGTTTTAGAAAAGTCTGGGTGTACATGCCATTATAAGGTGGATGTGTACACATCATAGTATACCATAAAAAGATGTAGTGTAAAAGTATCTTGAGTTCTCAAAATTGTTCAGTGTGAAATTATAGTTATTATTTTATGTTTACAGCACCAAGTTGTGTTTTATTTGATGCTGCTGACACATGATCATGAAACACAAGATAAATTATCAGAGAAAAATCAGCAACTTGTCCCACTTTTCACGGTAACTATCATTATTAAGTTATAGATGAGTACTCTTTGGTTTTTAGATAGTGGGTAGCAAGAAAAGTACACATTTGCCAAGTTAGCTATAATAATCTTATATATTTTAATATCTCTCATCAGTCTCAATCTCATATTTTAAAGTTCACACTTGTAAGCCACACGACCCACACTAACAGTCAGGTACTACTCAGGTTGCTATTACAGTATTAAACTGGGTTAAGACATTTCCAGGACATTGGTGGCATTGTTAAATGCAATGTTTTAGAGAGTAGTGATTGTTATAGCAGAGGTCTTAACTAGATGCTAAAAGCTAAACTACACAATAACTACGCAGAGTGCATAGTGTTACCTGCAAGCCCTATCTGTATAATCTTATAAATTGCCATAAAAAGTAATGTATGATCTAATGAAATACTAAAGTGAACAAATCTACACTTTAACTTAACTACACAAAATAATAATATAAAGGAGCTCTTTAATTTTAGTTGCCTCTTATTGTTATCATTAAATTATTATGATGATAATTATTATTTGATTGTTGTAATTTTTTTAAATTTGTATTTCAGGCATCAATGCCTTGTCTAGAAACCATCAAACCAATATATCATGACATGAAGAAGATACTTGAAACAAGATAAACAATATTATAGCAGGGTTTAATTTCTTGACTGATATGCATAATAAGAGTACAAAATTAAAGGTGGCTAACAGACTATAGTGGCTAACCTACCAGAAGTCATAGCACATAGCACTAGTGTTCCATCCTGAGAAAAGGGTTGAACTAAAAACATGTGTGACAAATGACAAACAAATGTGAATTATCTACTTTGCATAGCTGGGTGGACTGCTTTGTGATTGTATAGTGACTAGTCAGGGGCACCCAACGACAATTTTCGGAAAAATATCTGTTCGGAAGACGATTTGAGATCTAGAATTTTCGGATCATTTGTTGTAAAATTTCTTGCTTGCCTGCTTCTCCTAGGATTTTCGAACATCTAAAAAATGGTAAAATTGACTATTTTTAACGAATTTTTACCCTAAAAAGGTCACCTAGAATTTTCGGCAGCCTTTTTTCTGGCTGAAATTTTCGAAAAGGTAAGTTTTGATCCTATAATTTTCGGGTCACTAGACTTTCATTTAGGAAATCCGAACAGATGAAAAGTTTTTAGGGGATAAAAATATGCCTATATCTACCGTTTGAATACTAAAATACGTTCAACAGTGCTATGTTAAGTGGTTTTGAACTATATCCTCGTTGGGTGCTCCTGCTGAAGGCAATGGCATAAAAGTGGTAAGAACAAGAACAGTAACCAAATGCGTGGTGCCTTGGTTCGGGTCTGTGCAACCGGAATGTACCGTTCCATTGGGCACGTGGAATTTCCGAAATTTCGAACGGGAATTTTTGTTGAATGAAAAGAGCCCAAAGAGTTACATATAAAGTTACAGAAGTATAATATGGGACATATTTTATATTCTAATATTGTATTATTTATTATGCATAACATTGATTAAAATACAGCAACATTAAACATGACTTAACAGTCCAAATCCTAAAGAGATCTACTAACAGTAACTTTGTTAAAACGGCCTTTTGTGTTCAAATCTCTAATGAAGTATTTACCAAGCATATAAAAATCAGTTAAAATTTTAAAAAAAATGACAATTCAAATAGCTGCATAAAATAATAACACTGAAATAGCTTATACTTTCTGGCCCCTATTTGCTTTAATTTGTCATTAGTTGAACCCCGCTTTACGGACACCCGCTTAATACAGACACCTCGTGATTACGGACAGTTGTCCTTGTCCCTAGCCCTTAGCTCTTTTTTTCCTGTAGATTTAACCCTCTTTATGAACACTCCGTTAATTAAATACAGAATGTTTATTATTCTAGTTAACTTATGCAAAACTTTCCACCTGAAAAACACAAAAAAAGTCTTTTTGTTTTCACTTAGTTGTTCTATAAAACAAGCAACTGAACCAAAGATTATAAACCAGCTGCTGTTCAGGAATTTTGCCTGCGCGAAGACTTGACTGGAAAACAGCAGAAACTAACCCTAGCTTTCTATTGGTTTTATACTGAGGGATAATCCCAGTGTCCAGCACGGTTTGCTACACACACCAGTAAACCTATAGTATATGTTTCGAAACAAATCGTTTCGCTACGACTCTCAAGCACTGAAATTGCACAAAAAATTTGATCACTTTACGTATAGTTTGCGCGTGAACAAGGAAAACTTGGGCTGAATATTTTTTGTTCTTAAAGCCAAGCACGTGAAGCTATTTACACCTCGACTGAGTAAACATGTATCCAAACGACCGGTAACCATTTGTGAAATGATTGTTCCCAAGACAACGAAATATACCAGGAAGAAAAACACTGTTTACCACCAATCTTTTCCCACGAATGCCAAGTTAAGGTATCACAACATTAATTACTAGGAATTTGAAAGTTTTAATTAATTCTCTCTGCGAAATGACCGTCCGCTATTGTTAAATTAGATAAGATTAGACGATCAGAGATAACAGGTAGAAAATGGGAGGCAGTTATTGATATTTCCTGTCATCTCAAAGGTAAACGGCAGACAAACAAAAACCATAAGGAAAAGTTGTAAAGCTTGAGTGTCGTGTTCTGATCCGTCTGCTATCTTAGCTCTTTTTTCCACTTCTTCGCTTAGAGTTTTGTAATCCAAATCGCCCCCATCGTTTGCTTGGAATTCCAGTGACAAACCAGTGAAGGACTTTTTGATGGTGTCTTTAGAAGATGCGTATCATTTTGTCTCCAATCTTTGCATTTTCGTCACACCTGAAACAAAAAGGGGAGATGAGAATGAGCCAGCTCAGCCAGTTAACCGGGCTTGATTGGCTCATTCCTTGCTTTCTGATAAAATTACTGTTGTGTTTGTATGAGAAGGTAGGCTGCCCTGTTTGCCAAGATCTTGGTTGCTCGAAGGAAGATCTCGGTAGGCGGGCCAGCCGACCTTGTTATGATAAACACAACCTCAATTTTGTAAGGAAACAAGGCATGAGCCGAACCAGCCCGGTGAAGTAGGCCAACCATGCTAACCGGGCTGTCTCACCTCATATAAACAGTTCCTTATAAGTAGAAATGAGAACCAGGCAATAAGGTTGTACTTCACTATACAAACTAAAGCTAAAGAGTTGTACCCAACACCTATTTTACTTAATAATCTCTTGATGAGTGCACTTTGCTTAGTAATACACCAATTCAGGGAGCAAGGGTGAAGCAGTAGTGAGAGTAGTCACCTCCCACCAATGTGGCCCGGGTTCAAATTCCGGCATCGACTGACTCCCTATGTGGGTTGAGTTTGTTGCAGTTTTCAAATTATATCCGCTTCACTCGCCATATGGTTATTAAAAGATCAAGATATTCAAATAGCGCGATGCTTTTTCGACCAATCGGATTAAGGTATCATTAATTAAGGTAATCATTATTAATTTTTACATCTCGTCGGTAGATGTGAAAAACGAAAAAGACCCATAGCGTCCTTGCAGGCCTTATGCGCGCTCGCGCGCCTGGAATCGTCTTTACGCCTGCCACGCAGGCTGCCGATAGTGTTGCACTTATAACTCCCCTTATGACTCAGATTTTTGATTTTCACTAGGATTATAAAATAAAATGGTGTTTACAACTCTGACGCTGTCGAACTAGTAAAATCCAGCCAGACCAAACTATCATACGTCGATTTAGAATACAGCTATTTCGAGAAAGGTTGTCGGAAAAAGTGCACGCGACAATCCCGAAAGGTATTGTGGGTGGTTTTCAGTTCACTGTTCTTCAAAGAAATAGGCCATTTGTACGATGACATCATTTTACTACTGCGACCAGAATCCTTCAGGGTTTTGCTTTCTTGTGCTAATTAGGGCTTTTGTTATTCAAACCTCACTGGGATTAGAAAATTTAAATATGAAAGGAAAAACGAAAAGGATTCTGGTCGTAGTAGTAAAATAACGCCATCGTGCAAATGGCCTATTGGAAAGAGTGGCACGAAAGGCCATGGAAGTATGTTTGCCAGCGCTAAAGGAAAGCAGCAAAATTAAGTTTGACAGCTACAGTGCCAGGAACAGTGTATTGATCATATCCCATATTACCTTTCGGGATTGTCGCGTGCACCTTTTTTCGGACAAACTTTCTCGAAATAGCTGTAGACTGAGAGACTTAGTTTCTGATCAACAAATGTTGTCAAACTGTAAGTCTCTTCAATAAAAAATTCACTCGAATGTGAGCGGATTCGATCCCGGAGCATAGGGTCTGCATACCACTACTCTAACCACTAGACCACCGTGGTTTCTCTGCAAGTCGATGATATTATTCAAATATTGTAGCGTAAACCCCAACCCAAAATAGAAGCTAACCGTCAACCCTAATCACTTTTCTCAGGGTTTAACCCTGATCAGTATGGTTAGTGCTTAAATTAGTATTTTCAGTGCTTAACCTCAATCACCAGAGTCAAAATATCGGACTTATAAAATATTGCATTTTGTGAAAATATACTTGAAAGATATTAAACGGCTGCTTGCTCCAGTGATGCTCTTTCTTTGTTCATATGTTACGCTATTTTGCTGGTCTTAGCGTGTTCTGTTTTCCGAAAACCAACCCAAATATAGAGAGGTTTCGAACTTTTCTTTCATTCTGCCTTGGCATCCACTATGATGAATTCATCATGAATGCCTTCGGTTCTCGGTCGACAAGTGTCGGCCAACTGCAAAAGTATGAAGCATGTGCAAAGTTGTTTGTTTTCTAATTAGACCTTTTGTTTCTATACTTTAACGACATTGCACATTATTCAAATTGCAGTTGAAAATCAGTGTAAGAAGAAGGCACGTGGTAATTCACCTGGCATTCTAAATCTCCCATTCCAGCATAGCCACAATTCCTTGCGAGTCTACTGCGCATCCTAAATCTTCCATGCGCACTTAACCGCAATTCCTTGCGAGTCCATTGCGCATCCTAAATCTTTGAGTCGCGCATAACCACGATTCCTTGCGTTTGGTAAGAAAAAGTGATTGAATGCCCCTATAATGTATTTTTTTGCCGATTAGAGAGCTGCCTCGTTCGCTCGCTTCAGGCTCACTCACTGCGGCAGCAATTATTCCATATTTTCACACCACGGTAACAAATATATCTAGTCTGTCTATCATGGACAATAGCTCGAGTTGAAAATTTATCTGACAAGCAACCTCGTTCCCAGGGTTCTCTCCTACCCGCCCTACGGAGCGAGAGAGTGAGCGGGTAGGGGAGAACCCTGGGAACGAGGTTGTCTTACAAGTAGCTAGGTGACGGACGTTTGAGACGTTTGTACATCATAACTGCATCATTGACCATAAGTCTTTGTTTGACATTTAGCCATCGAAGTGATCTTAGACCTGCAGACATGGTCATATTTGCGGAGTCCCAAGGTAATCGTGGCTGCAAAATCTTGAACAAGCTGAAGCTTATGGATGTTAGTTGCCGAGGTATTGCTCCAATCTGAGGAGCAATAAAACAGCCTGCTAAAAACAAAGCTATTAATGAATGATTAACAAAAGTGTTTCCTTATCATGTAAATGCTTAATTCCATTGATCTGGATCAGTTTGTTTATACAACTAGCAACAGTTTTACGTATGTGTTCATCATAGGAGAGGCACTGATCTAAAAACACTCCTAGATCCTTTGCTACAGGTGTCGATGATATTGGTTTGCCGCAAAGTGTTATTGTAAAGTCAGGTAACTGTCGTAGCAATTGCGGCACGCCTATCACAAGAAGTTTAGTTTTATCTGGATTCATAAGTAGTGAATTGTGACAGCACCACCTACAGATTTCATTTAGATGGGAGTTAACTGCGGAGACTGCGTTACATAGCTCATTAGTTTTAAATTTCAAGTAAAGTTTAGAGTCATCAACGTAACAAGCAGTTTGACAAAGTTTAGGTACAGTTAATGAATCATTTATACTAAAGCGCTACTGACGCATCAAACTCACCTACTTAGACTTAGCGATCAGTGGAGCCTAAGTTCATCTTAGTGCGGGACGAGTCTTCGGTAAGATAGTACCGGAGTGCTTGCAACTGAATAAACTTCATTCGACCTTTATCCAACTGCATGTACAGGTAATATTAGCTAGCTGAGCCGAAGCTGAGAAAAATCATTATTAAAAAACAATGGCTTTGAAGTCTGGGATTTGCTCGTCGAGAAACCAAGAGAAACTCACTGTCGGTTAGTTTTTGCGGTCGTTTGAGCGATAAAAAATCATAGTGCTTTCGGCGAAAAATTTCGACGGCATAAATATACTAGGGTATCTAAAAGATAGTAATGCTGCGGCACATTCTGTTGATACTGGCATTAATTAGGAAGTGGGACTTAAAAGAATCGAAAATGACATTGAATGATCATTTACATGTTGGAAAGTACTAGAATAATTACTATCAGTCTATACAAAGAACTCGTGGGAACGTTGTTTAGAAAATGATCAAGTGGTTATCAACTCTGGTTTTCCCACAGTAAATTGTATAGAAATTCAGATTGTTTCTCCATATATTTAATATACAGTGTACTCTCTTTTCTCTGGAAACACGATACTTTTCTTGC